TATTTAATCGTGTTTCTACTGATATCTAAATGGATACCCACGGGCCTCCGTCATGTGTTGTAAAATTAGAGTTTTCCCGACCCCGGCGCCCCACGGGCACGTGATCATGGGGTATATACATTGTTTCTTAAGGAGTGGCCATTTTCAGTTCACTCTTGTGGATTCAATATGTATTAGCATGCAGAGACTTTCCTGGGCGAAATATTTACTCGGGCGCCATCAGCCCAGACTGGAAGCTCAGCAGCGGATGGTCAGCGAGACTCTCCCAGAACCCAATCTCAAAGTCTAAGGATTCCTGATAAGGAAAGCTGGACCATTCAATAAGGTTCGGACTGCGGGGTGTCATGTCTGACACAGGGTGCATGGGCTCAGAAGTGACTGAATCCAGGAAGCTCTGGATCGTTTGCATGGCCTTGGACATTAGCTCATAGTTGGGTTCTTGAGGCCGAATGATCGATCCGGCTTGAATCTCCGCAGCGAGGATTGTCAGGTGCTGGAGTGTTCGGGGTCGTGTTATACGGGGCATGCTGGGAGTGGCACGCTCGTTGAGAAGAGCCAGTAGGAGGATTCCCGCAGCGGGGAGACAGTGATAGGCGACCTGCTCAAATTACAGTTACCTCAAGGCTACAGTACCAGCTGGGCAGAGAATTAAACATATACCTTCCACAAGAGACAGGTTCCAGAGTTTGTAAGTTGGTCACGCAGGAGAACCATGTCCACTGTTACCGAGAGGATCTGTTCGGCAATGTCCACGAGGGTGGGATCTGGCTCAGTAGGAGTACTTAGCAGGAGGAGATTCAGAAGAAAGAGCGCGTGCAAGTGATTCAGCTGCACTGAGCCGATAAAGTCGCGTTCGAAGGTGCTCAGTGTACTGTCTCTGAGATTGTTGCGAAACTGAAAATGTGGAGGTAGTGAAGAGTAATTCTTTTCAGCCTGGGCTTTTATGTCGCTGGTATCGTCAGCTATACACACGAGTGCGCTTTATTGCAAAGTAAACTTACACAACCCGTTGATAGAAAAGATCCATGTCACTTGGCCGGCTTCTCTGCAAGTTGAGTATGTCCTCTTTAACCCCAGCGCACAATGCAGTCCATCGAGTCTCAGCCATATAGCTCGCTTTAGTCGACGGGTCCCAGCTAAAAGGATCATTGATCTCATTATCCAGCTTTTCAGAGGAGATAAACCAAATGTCATCGGGAAGCGGACTTGATGGAATCTGGAAATAGCAGAACTGTCTATTCATGCGAGGCGGTCGACCGACAAAGATGGCAACATTTTTGTCCGCCGAATACACGCGCGCGAAGACAGCCTTGCGTAGCTCGGTCAAGAAGCGAGGTGTATCGGGCTTTTCATCCAGGTTCTCATGGTAGCCTAGAGCATATATTGAGGATATAACATCTCCGAGCTTTCGCCATGAATAGTAGCCTGGACGTAATTAGCTCTTCATGAATGAGGCGCATTCACCTGCGAAACGTACTATGGTCCCCGTCTACATGGGAATGCACGATGAAGTTCTCATACTGTAAGCAGACTTGAAGGTCATTCAAACAGTCGAGAGAGATGGTAATTTCTAGAGCATAGTCCGCTAATCTCGTGCATAGCTTCCTAAGGCTATACTTCTTCTCCTCGGTTGTATACAGCGACGGGAAGAACTGAATATCCATCGTGGCCCGGACCACAGCTGACAAAAAGATCGCGAGTGTTTCCCATCGCATATTCTGACTAATGAATTGAGCACAGAAATCGGAAAAGGTAGAGTGCTGAGAGTATTTAAGCGGCTGGGAAGAGTTAGTGAGAAGGGATTTCGCATATAGCAGATGCCAATCTTCGTTTGTCGATGAGGGTGGTAGGGGAATGTTATCAACACATTGATCAACCATAGCCCCCATAATCGCAAGATTCGTTCCCCTTGCCCGCCACAGCTTTATTAGATCTTTCATAGCAGGCAAGGAGAACCTCGTCAAGAGCATTTTGAGGGCATCTGCACATCGCTGGACGACGAGATCATCGTCAGGTGGGAAGAGAGATGTTGTCCACGAAGCGGTACTAGGACTCAGATGTGATGTAGCACTCTGACTGTCTGATGAAGTTATGTGTTTGAATATGGCAACATGGCTGGACGATCCAAGATATCCTGGGTTGGGATATCTATTTCCTCCTGCATGAGGTGGAGATAATGCTGGGGGTGATGGGTCTGGAGAGCTAAAAGTGGTGACAACGAATGAAGTGCCAAGGCCTTAGCCAATGTATACTAGAACAGTACCAAGGATTAGGAACACCATACTGATGAGAAGGTTTATGCTCCGTCACCGCATTGCTAGTCTTTCGTCTTTTGAACGGCGCACTTCTGTAGATACAAAGACCCGGTCGGTTGCCATCCCTACACCGATTGCAAACTGGCTGTTGATGATCGCAGGCAAGCTTGGACCTTCTGCAAGGCTCACATGCCGCTAACCTAGTTGCCATTGTTAATCGCAGATATAATGGCGCAAATGGTGCGTTGACGCCCTCGAGGATGGATCGGCGAGTACGGAGAGACGTGGGTAGCGTTGTCGGAGTCTCGGAGCGGGGTAAATGAGTATGCCGAGACATACTACTTCCCAGACAGAAGAGACAATTAAAACGCTCAAGCAAGACCAGGCTGGTCTTGCTTGAGTCAATATTTGCCACCGAAGTAAGTGGGGCTCTATAAATATGCAATTGATACTAATATTCTTTGGCAGGCTTGGTCGGTCACTGCGAATATATTACTATATGAACTATAGAGTGGCTCTCATTGAACTCATACTAATTTACTCCCAGTGAGGCTCTTGGAAGCACATACAACTAGCACTATTTCCCTTGAATTAATTATAGACCGGTTAGAACTCTCCAAAGTAGACATAAATAGAAAAGCGCGATAAGCGTAAGACAACGAGACCCGGAGAGATCGGAGTGTTTGAGTACATCACTCCCATCTCTCCGCCATCAAGATAAGTGATGTCTTGTCTTTCCCAGAATTATAAGAGAAGACAAGAACCCTTCACATCATGAAGTACATTTTGAAAATCCTCTAGACAATATCTTCAACCTCATAATGACGCGCCTACAGTCCACTGAAATCAAAGCCCTTCGTGCTGCGGCGCCCCCTCTCCCTCTCATTCCTGCCCCAGCCGTCTCCTCCGATGAGTACAAATCACCATACAACCGTACAAAATCACCAGCAAAACGATTCGACCACCATTTCAGCCTCGAAAACCGGAACTTCACCGGGTCAGCGTTGAAAAAGGGCTCCAGCCCAAGCGGCCCGCGCAAGATCATCTCCTTGGGAACGGGACGACCAACAGCGGACTATTATCCTTGGGAATCTATAAGCCTGAATGAGGCTTCTCCAGAATCGACAAGTAAAGCTACGCCAAAACCCAATCCACAACTACCAAAAGAACAGGAACAATGCCAATCAGCGAACACCATCACCAAACAAGGTGCAACATACAACCTCTCGATCGCAATGAACTACTGCCTCGCAAACGGATCAGCACACTTACTCCGATTCATCACGGAGCACGTTGAACTCGTCCACAATCCCCCTTATACAGACTGGGCAACTTTCCTCTCTTGTGGAGCGACTGCCGCGACGGAGGCGGCGTTTCGCATCTTCTGTAATCGCGGGGACACCATTCTCGCGGAGCAATATACGTACCCCGGAACACTAGAAAGTGCTGCGTTGAATGGGGTTAATGTCCAGGGTATTGAGATGGATGCGGATGGCTTGCGGGCTGATGCACTGGATGAGGTACTTTCGTCTTGGGATGATGCTCGATCATCTAAGCCGCGCGTGCTGTATACTATCCCAACGGGTCAGAATCCGACTGGAGTTAGCCAGCCGTTGAAAAGACGGAGAGCTATCTATGATATTGCGGAGAAACATGATCTCATAATTATTGAGGATGATCCGTACTATTTCCTGAGGATGGGTCCTTACCAAGACACTCAAGGAACAAATGGTACAGATACCAGCCACTCTGCCTCAGAAAACGACGAAGCCGCTCAGATCTACCATTCCGAGTCCATCCCCTCCTACCTCACCCTCGACACATCCGGGCGGGTGGTACGTCTCGATTCAGCATCCAAGATCCTCGCTCCCGGACTACGTGCAGGCTGGGTCACTGCACCTAGGCAAATCATCGATAAGTTCACCGCATACCAGGAAGTAAGCACTCTAGCTGTTAGCGGCCCATCCCAGCTTATGTTATGGCATCTGCTTGACGAGACCTGGGGGCATGATGGGTTTACCGCGTGGCTTGTTCATCTCTCGGGAGAGTATCGGTGGCGGCGGGATGTGCTCCTTGATGCTTGCAACAAGTACTTGCCTAGGGGGGTTGTGCAGTGGAATACACCGGAGTTCGGCATGTTTTTGTGGGTTAAAGTTGACTGGAGACAGCATCCTCGGCTTAAGAGCTTGTCTGGATTGTCGCTGGAGGAGGTTGGTGCGCAGATAATTGGACTGGAGGAGAGGGTTGCAGCTAGGGCTTTGGAGAAGGGAGTGCTTGTGACTAAGGGGTCGCTGTTCGCTTCAAATCAGGAAAGGAATGGCCATCTGCATTTTCGGATGACGTTCGCCGCTGCGGAGGAGGGGGATCTGAAGGAGGGGGTGAGGTTGTTTGCGGAGGCTGTGAGGGAGGATTTTGGGCTATGAATCTAAGTATAATGATGAATGTTTGAGAAGGCATTGTCAAATGTATTTTATGTGTCTTAAATATCGGCACCTAGTTCGAGGGTGCGCTTCATGAGTTAGAGGGCCTCGTCAGACGGTAGGGCTTGCACGCCAGGTGAGCGCCGGATGGCTAATTTGGGGTTTGTATTTGGAGAGTTCTATGTAGCAGCAAATGATAGCAGGGCTGGAGATGACCGTGATGCCTTTATAATTAGAGGCGAATTACGAAATCGGAGAGAAGCAAGTAGATAATCGGCCAAAGAGCTAGCTGAACGCGAGAATATGGCCTATGCGTTCTAGGTATCACTGAGAGCATGTGGAATAATGCTACTACCCAGAAATTCTCGTGCTTTCTAGCATCCATATTTTGAGATGCAAAGAGTTTGCTTTGTCGTGTCATGAGCGTCGTAGCAATCGTAAAGGTATCAGCCCTTCCACCCAGAAAGGAAAAAAGGCAGCCTTCTATGGAAAGGCAGATTGGAGCGAAGAAGCAAGCAGACATAGAGGAAGTCGTGTCGTGATGTGAGATAGTGTGGACAGAAGGAAGGTTCGAGTATTGTCTGGCCGCGACAACGGCCGAGAATGAAGGCAACGCTCAATATTCCATGAGGTAGGAGCGAGGTAATTAGGCTACCAGAATTGGGAATCCTTAGAGCCCAATGATGGGAGATTATAGTCGTTCAGCCCAGTAAGGTCTTCCGGGAATTCCGGTGCCTGAATCTTGCTCTTTGCTCCAGATACATCACATTCAATAATGAGATTCGTTTCACCGGGTACATTCTTTGCTCCGATATATGTGCGTCTCATAAAGTCCATCAACGACGTGAGCGCCTTTACTTGCGTTTCCTCAGAAGCCTGTTGGGTGTGCCGGAGTAATTCTGCAAACAGTGCGGGCATGTAATAAAGAATAACAGCTTGTTCACCTTCCAGACCGCTCTGATTAAGCTCTTTGATGAGTTCAGCTCTATGATTATCTGGGAGGCCGAGAAGGGCCTTGCGGAAGCGTTCTGCCAAGTCGATATCTGCTACCCTGCCCATTGCATACAAACGCAAGAGGGCCCGATCTTGCTTGTCATCTGTTGACAACTCTGGATAACCCTTCTCAGATAAGATACGGCCTCGATTTTTTAAGACTTCATTGTAGGCTTCCTGAATAGTGATCTCTTTGGATATGACGCGCTCCAGGATCTTGTAAGTAAGTAGGAATGATTGGCAGACCGGTTCAATCATCCGGACTGAACCACAAGCATCAATATGCGCCCCTGCGCCAGCCACATCAAACATGATCTCAAGATATTTCAAATCAAAGGCGCTTTCCTGACCTCGAAGATCTTGGAGACACTGCAGGCTCCCTGGAACATTCTCACCTTGGGCTAGCTGTGGGATATTGAGCTTGGCACCAAGTCTAACTCCTTGAATTACATCATCTCGTCGACGAGGCGGCAGTAAATCCAATGGAGATGGAGACTCGACGATGTTCATTTCAAGGGCCCTTTCAAGGACCGTATCGTGATTCATTTCCTCGTCTGATGGAGTCTCGAGTTGTGCTCGCACCTCTTTAGCTAGATTATCGTCTTTACCCACGTCACCTATGACCAGAGCCACAATCAAGGCCATTAGCCAACCTGGCTTATTTCGGAACCGGTCAATGAAATTGCGAAATTCCTCAAAAGTCTCCATCTTTAACTTTATGGGTCCTTTTTGATGGCAAGTAAAGGTGTGGTAATCCCCAACGAGCAGCCATCGCACCGCAAGAACATTAGTCAAGGTTCGATTCACCTCTGAGTAATCTTCGCCGTTGAAAAGATATCGGGAGGGGGTGAGATTATAATCATTTTCATTGCGTTTTCCCCCAACGCCTGCCCGGGTTAGTAATCCTTGGGGATGCGCATCATCTCCCTCAATATTTTGTTCGACATTCTTGAGTCTGTCGATCACCGGTTCAAATTGTTGATACAGGAGATCAACAAGTCGTTCGTCACTAAGTGATTCGAACTTTCCCCTGTCAATCACTTCTTTCAACGATGTATAGGATGCCATATTTGTGCTGCAGATATTGCGAAGCCTGACGATGAGGCGCGCTAGAAACGGTAATGGCGATGAAAATTGTGAGTTTCTATTATTGCGAGGAGGCCGCACAGTTTGCTGAGGTGATGTTGGTGTTGGCATTGTGGATGGGAGTGGAACGCGCCCCAATTAAATAGTAGGCCTTGCCGTCCCTCGCAGCAGGAATGTCCTCCACTCTTATACGGTTCCCGCCCGGGTGCACCGCCTCACACGCTAGGAGAGTTCCTCCTTGACTGGAACACTTGTTTATGTCTTGGAAGATGCCGTGCAGTTCGTATCTGCTCCTCGGCGAGTAACTGCTTCGTGTGCGGTGAAATTTCACTGTCTCTGTCTTATAGTTGGTATCTCCCTAGTTTATGAAGTCTGGATCGGATTTTTGATGGGTATATGGTCATGGGGCTCTGGCGGCAACTGGCCGCATGATAGGAACCAACTGACTGATTAACTAGTTACTTTAGACCGGTCTTAGCAGTCGATCCGGTGGGAAAACGCTGCCAGGAACAACAACTTGATGTTTGATCTCCGCTGACCCACATCCACAAGCGTGAGGCTGGGGAGTGTTCAGCACGAGACACGAGGATGAGCCGGGCGAAACGAACCAGGAGGGTTAGACTAAAAAGCAAAGGACCGTTTGTCAAGGAGTTCAGCTGACGAGCCGCGCCCGATACCCGATTGGGAACTTTGAGATAATCGGTCGCGGTGGCTGAAGCTGAGTGTATCTTTGTAAGAGGACAGAGTAATTTGTTAGTAGGTAAAGAATTCCCCGAAGCCTTTAGTAGTACATCGTATGTAACAAACCACCTTTGGAGTACTCCATCGGCTGTGATGACAATTAACGATCTGTCAGATTCCTTCAGACAAATGGCTCAATACGTGTCACTGCATCTGCGATCAGCCAGTCAAATATGTGTCGCTTTGGTATTTGTCCACCTTTGTTCAATTTGCTGTGTTTCTTGTGTTGGGAATCCCTAGATGGAATCGGCACGTGCCATGATCATTCTAGACTGCCTCTTGTCGATTACCTGCTCACGGGATCAGAGATGTTAGACAATGGCATAGCCCGCCTTACCGTCTTAAGCCTCCCGTAGTTTAGTGAGATACGCATCATAGTAATCTACTATCGCACACCTCTCTATTTTCATAAAGAAGTTGACATCATATTCGCTCTAGAAAGCTTATACTTTTATCTCGCTATTTATACATCAAGAGTCATTTCCAACAACCCTTTACAGCCTCTTCAGGACATCATCCAAAACCTCCTGGGTAGTAGCCTTACCACCCATGTCAGGAGAAAGGAACTTGGCCTCATCGAGGTTGGCATCAACAGCAGTGTAGATCTTGGCAGCGGCGGTCTCCTCGCCCAAGAACTCCAGCATCAGGGCAACACTGCGCAGAGTGGCAATGGGGTTGGCAATACCCTTGCCCTCAATGTCGGGGGCACTGCCGTGGCAGGGCTCACCGATAGCGAAGCCATCACCAACGTTAGCGCTAGGAACCAGTCCCAGACTGCCAACCAGGGCAGCGGCACCATCCGACAGAATGTCACCGTACAAGTTGGGGGCGACAATAACATCGTAGTACTCGGGCTGACGGAAGAGCTTGTAAACCATGGAGTCGACAATCTGCTCCTCAACCTGGACGGAGGAGAAGCGGTCGGCGGAGAGGGCCTTGCGGGCGGTCTCACGGAAGAGACCGTCGGTCTGGGAGAGAACGTTGGACTTGTGGGTGATGGTCACCATGGGCTCGGTGCGGAGACCAGCGATACCAGCAACACTGCGGATCTTCTGGCGACGGAGGGCGATTTCACCGGCAATGGTGGAGATGCGGGAAGAAGCGTTCTCGGAGATACGCTTAATAGCCTCGGCAACCTTGCCATTGGGGGTCTCCTTGGTCTGCTCCTCCTTGACGTAGAGATCCTCGGTGTTCTCACGCACAATCACCAGGTCAATGGGCTTGCCGTCGGTGCTGCCGGCGGTGGTCTTGACGGGGCGGACGTTGGCGTACAGGTCGAGCTTCTTGCGGAGGGCGACGATGGGGGAGGAGTAGCCGGCGACCTTGGTGCTGGGGGAGCTGTGGAGGAATTGGTTAGAAGGTGATTGAGTGGTAGACGAGGACGAGGATATCAATATAGCACTCACCTGACGGCTCCGAACAGGGCACCATCACACTCCTTCTTGAGGATCTCGACCGTCTTATCGGGGAGAGCGCTACCGGTGCGCTTGAAGGTGTCGAAACCCGCATCGAGGTCGACGAAGCTGAACTTGAGGTTCAGGGAGGAGGGGAGAGACTCCAGAACCTTCCGGCCGGCCTGATGAAGAAAGTTTCATTAGAATTGGTGTTTCTAAAGTGAGCTATTCGCTGGGGTGACTCACCGGAATGACCTCTCGGCCGATGCCGTCACCGGGGATGAGACCTGCATGAGGGAAGATGTCAGCAACTAGACGGGCGCAGAGATATATTAAGAGATATAGAGGAGCAATTGACCTATGCGAAGCGTCCTAGCAGCAGCAGCCATTGTGAATACCTTGCTAAAGGGGATGTAAGAAAGAGAGTTCCTGCTGGCTGGAGAAAAACATCCGCTTAACGGACGCCGTGATCGGAGGATTCCCACTAGTCTAGCCCCATCCGCGGGGATGCACGTGATGCGCACCGACCACATATGCGTAAGTGGCGGGTTTGTCTTTCCGTATCACACTATATCGGAGTGTTCTCGGAGTACTCCGTAGGATGCTGCTATCATCACACAGCCTATATTACTATGGCGTTAAGCTGGAATTTCTGCTACTAAGGCCAATGTAAATATGGCGGTAATGGGGTTTTGGTATAGTTTTCGAAATCGTGTTATTGTGACCTAATACAAGCGTTTATCAAAGAATTCGTCCTTGACTTGCATATCACTCCTACGGAGATGCTTCGAAACCGTTTCGCTCCGAACAGTATGATGGAACAACATATATCTTCGACATGGCATACACCTAACAGTAGTACCAATAAGTATCTACAGTCGACTCCCCTTCTTCTCCCGCTTCGTATCAACCGGCAACTTGATATACTCCATCCATTTCTCCGACAACGCCAACCCACCCCTCTCCGACTTCTGGCTATCATACTCCTCCCAAAACTTCTTCTCCTCCATATACCTCTTCTCCTGCTCCACCAACCAGTCTGAAACCACTCTTGCCGTCTCACCCACCTCTTCAAGGGAAACCGTATGCGATGCCCCTTTCACAACCTCATCCCGAACCATCCCTGCCCGAACACCCCCACTACCTCCAAGCCCGGTGCCAACACGTAACAGTTTATCATCTCTGCGTGCACCGGGGGTATTTATATGACTTTTCTCTCCCCAAACAAATAGAACTGATGGCCGAATATAAGGCAAGAGCTCGAACGCGAGACTTGTCCAAGGACAGGTCGTTACGTAGCTGGGATGGTTGTTGGTGCCTTCTTTGGCTGATGTAGCTAGGTCAGGGCTGAGGAAGCGCTCAGCACTATCACTACTCATATCTTCCTTAGTAGTACTTTCATATGGCGTGATGTTAAAGCGTAGATATGTCCATGCTTCTTGAGCTTTGGTGGTTGTCAAAGTCACTGAGTTTGGTGTCACCTTTGCGCTTGACATCTCTCCGTTAGAGGACTGAGGATCAAACGGGTACAAAGCTGTCGGGACAGGCCGGAGACCATGTTCAATGTATTTTGCGACCGCACGAGAATCCCATCTGCGCCAGAAAGGGCTACTCCGGATGTGCTTTTCAGCTTCGGACTGAGACGGCCAGAGGTCGGGGCGGGTGCTGGCCCAGAGGGCAGGGCTGCGGCCACCTGGCTTGCTGGGGCTTTCAGTTTGGATCATGGGGTCGAGGAAGATGAGGGTGTGGAAGAGACGGGGGTGAATGAGGGATAAGTGGACGCTGGAATGTTGGTCAGACGGTCATTCTTTGGTCGTGGGGAAGTGAAAGGAAAGGTGCTTAAGGTAGTGGGTGGGATGCGTACAATGACGAGCAGCTGAAGCTGTGTGCAACGCCTACAATTGGAGGTTGGATTTGGTCTTGAAAATGAGTGATCATTGAGAAGAGGTCTCGGGAATGGTCGAACCAATTTGCTAGGAGAGAGTCATCAGTCTAGTTAAAAGTTTGAGAAAAGTGTCAGTAACTCACGGTCATCACCCAGTTTATCTTCATTCAAGACTCCACTGGCGCCTTGATTTGCGCAGTCTGCGAACCAAATGGCCTTGATCTTCACCTTGCTCGTTGCAAGAAGGTCGTCCCATAGAGGCTCGTAGCACTCCTGTAGGAGTATTAGTATGCTTTGTCCAGCATATATATTTCGGTGTAGTATTCTGATAGCACGCCTCCTGACCTTTGGAATCCCATTTGCATGTCCCGCGATAATTGTAATGTCACCCGGTGCAGGATGGGGATTATTGAGAGGAACATATTGTTTGATTGCTAAGTGTAATTTTTGACCACTTTTAACTCCATGGTGATATTCCCGGAGAGAGGGACACTGAATGGTGTGCTCGATAACTCGAAAGTGAGATGTGCTCATGGCTGCAACTCAGGCTTCACGTATGGAATCAAACGAAGAATAGTTTCTCGAATGCAATAGAACATGAGTGGGGAGTGGAATTTTATAGTGTAAGCAGCGTTTCGTGGCTGGCAAACTCATTGTAGCTTACTGTATAGTGCTTATTCCAAGCCGCACAACTAGCCAGAACTAACCAGTAGATAGGGCTCACGCTCAAAGTGGCGTGGGTTGTTCGTATCTTAGTGTGGAAATAGCAGGCTAGCTAATTGGCTAGTCCGTTTAACTGTTAGACTAGGTACTACAGTAAGACAGTGAATGAAATTTCTGAGAATGTGCTGGCCTGATCACAGCCTATCAACTAATACCTGTCAGCACAATATCGTTTCTTTCCGACACACCAAGTACTCATATGATAGGCATACAGGGGATTGGAATGACCTATTCATCTGCAACTCCAAAGAGCCGGTCTTGGATACACCTGATTGACCTTATAGATGGCATGCACTAGATTGCAGACGCATGGAACAACTGAACCGTTTAATCAATAAGATATTTAATTGGCGTCGGAGCTTCTCTATACTAGGATACAGCTTGATAGTAGGATCGGCCAAGTTGTGATAATTGATATCCTATATGAAGCGCTCTGTTGATGATTTCTTCGTCTACTTAAACAGGAAAACTATAGCCCCTGGATATAACAATGGAAATGGCTTATCTCTATTAACCACTACATATTCGATCTGGTAGATGGCTAGTTGTATCCCAAAGGAATTAATTATTTCATCATAACGAGAGGAAACAATTTTGACCAGTCGAGCGTACGGTCAGTAACGACCAAAACCGTCTATGCTGAATTATCCCGTCCATATCTTGGCGCTCTCGTTGAATTCGAATCGGTTGTAACCGTACAGCTATCTTTGCTACTGAATGATTTATTAGTACACTGCTGTCTCGAGCTTGGAGGATTTATTCAATTGTGTGCAGGAACTGACCAAATGAACAAGATTGACTGGCCACCAATTGAACCAAGGATCTTGCATCATTCATCCTTTTAGTTGGCAACATTGGCAACATTGGCAACGCCAGCAACACCAGCAACACCAGCAACATCGGCGATATCAGCGACGTCAGCAACATCGGCCACATTAATACTGCGACGGTTGATGCTGTTGGCAACATCGGCAACATCAGCGACATCAGCAACGTTGGCAACCTTAACACCGTTGATGCTGTTCGCAACGTCCGCGACGCCTGCAACTCCGGCAACATGCTCTTCTCTCTTCCGCATGGGGCCAGCCATTCCGAGCCCAGCAAGGAGGGGCACAAGGGCAATGGAAACCTTCATGTTGGGTGGATTGTAATTGGTGAACGAAGGAGGCTGACGGAGAAGGGCTGGAGTAAGGTAGTATGGTAACAGGCGATAGATTAGACGATGAGATAGCTCGAGTGAATGCTTTCTTTCCACGGGAGCTATCGGCCCTTTTATGTCCCCTGGCCGTCTAAAATAGTAGTATGTAATCTGCAGTCCTGAGATATTATGTAGATTGCAGATCTTCGCTATTTTACGCAAGGCTGGAATTGACCGCCATGTAGTGTGACAGACAGCCACTATCTCCTTAGCTTAGGTCATTAACTAACGAGATGGTATCTGGTTCTATCTGCAAAAAATTGATACCGTACTGATGGGTTGCATCAAGGTAGGATGCCTATCTCATGCATTGACTATAGTTAGCAATTTAGGAGGATGATAATCGGGGAAAAGTTGAACTGATTGTTGCCCATTTACAGTACAAGCAGGAAGTGAAGTTACGCAAGCATTCCAAGACTATAAATGACGTGATGCCAAACGATTGGGACTACTATCAATTTTCGACGCTAAGACCACTACACAGGACGTCTGAAGACCTCCCTTGATCCATGGAATATGGTTGCGGACTTGAGGATGAGCCTTCAAGGGGTAGATCTACTTCTATTTCGCTTTATAATCGTACGTATAGTCCTTGTTTTTCATCCCCTACCACGATTCAGCTCTAGCATGATCGATACACCTCGTGCAAGGTTCACGCAAGCCACCGCCTGTCTTTCTAAAATTGTGTGCCGAGTGACGTGGACATGCCGCATGATGCATGATAGGGATAGGGAGAAGGAAAGTGTAAGAAAAATCTATATATGAACCTTAGATAATGGCGGAATCGGAGCTTTTACTAACAGGAAGCCACATAGAATGGGATTCATAGTTACTAGCCTTTTATGACATGCTGAAAGACTTGGGGAAAGAAGTCTAAACTAATTGGAATCGCCTTGCTGTAGTTCTTTTTTGTCATGGGATTGAAGTCTTTCGTGTCCTGGATATGATGGTGACATATAGCAAATGAAGGCTTGGAAATATGATGACGTCGCTAGGATTCCTTGGATGACCGACCGGACATCAGATAGTAGCAGCAGCAGCAGCAGGAGGAGGAGTGGTGATCAGCGAACCCTCTTGCATCTTCCGTAAATCCTGTTCCCCTAACCCGTCTGCTACCAGCCAGGAAATCAACTATCTCGCGGGCTCTGTCCGATGACCCGAACAGATGTATACACTGGTGATAGATAATAATTCAGCGTCAAACATCAAACACACCGCTACCTCCTCCGCATGATTGCCAACATCTCAAATTCCATGATTCCCACATCTACAGGGATACACACGTCTGAGAACGACGAATTGCGAAAGCACGGCTCATAATCGGCCCAATCCGCACGGGGTCCCAACCACAGTATCACCTGCACTGACGACTCAGGTCCATCGCCATACATCTCAATATACTTGCTGACCAGCTTCGGTTCGCGCGGGTAAACAAACATCCATGCTGCTGCCTGCGGCGCACGCGCATACAGATCCCAAGTTCCGCTGACCACGTCGAAGTCCTCTTCTGCAAGGTAGCGGTTGACTGACGTGGAGACTTCTATTCCGGTGATTTGGACGTTGGGATGGTTATGTAGTATCAGTGCTTCCAGGAGACCGGATCCACAGCCTATTGATAGGGTGAACGCGGGCCTTTTAGGAAGGAGCCATGCTAAGTGGGCTACCAGGGTGCTGGAGATAGATAGACAACAATTTGGGAAGGGGGTTGGTGCTTCGGTGAGCTGGGTGGAGAGTTGAGGGATGTCCATTTCTTTTTCTCTTTGTTTATTCCCGTGTATAGCTTTCTATCATTTGGTTATTGATCGGGAAGGTTCGTGCTATAGGATATCCATCGCTGCGGTGACGGAAGGGGGGAAAAAGAAGCGGTGGAAATTCGATTCCTGGATAGATGAATGAAGCTTTTCGGTTGGGAGAGGATCATCGGCCCGGATTTACTTTGTGGATGATGTTGCTTGTCGGCCTATCAGGTCCTATGGAAATGCCCCGCGGAATAAATAAGTGGGTACGTACTGTGGTAGGGGAAATATGTATCAGGCATCGCATTCAAAGAAGCCCCTGGCATGTTCAGCAGTAAGGCACTATGGATCGGAGCATCTGATTTCCTGTCAAAGTCATTCGGTGACATTGCTTGTTTGTGCACGGGGCAGACGCCCCACACCATTGGTAAACGGCACATAAGAAAGAACTTTTTTTCGTCCTTGTGCCGCGACTTCTCATGTTAGGGCTAAGGTAGGAATACTAGGAGACGACCACTGCGATAGGTCTAGTATATTGCGCAGTCAACTAGTAACTTCCTTACGCCTTGACGTCACCTCTCTTCTCATTCTATCCCTTATCAATTATCCCTCCTCACCCACCATACTGCATGAGTGAATGAATACGCAACGTATGTATTCAAGGGATAGTGATGGTGACAGCCCAAGTCACTGTGAAACATGAATCTAGCATATTTAAGTACATTCTTAGACGGAGTGAATCTTCCCAGTCTATCATCATTTGAGTCCGTCACCGTTTCGATTCTCCAATCTTCCCTTTCCCAGCTTCCGCTCATACTCCGTAAGGACGATTTATGACCATAATTCCCTGCATGTGTCACTTAATGTCTCCAAGTTATATTCTGAGGTGCATTTGTTTTTGTTTCGAGATCCCCACCCCTTCTTCTTTCCCGTCAAGTTTTGTTCTATTAGTAGGTATATTACTGTACTTTGTGGTAGCTATCAAGGCGTTCAGTGAAATATCTGACTAGCCATACTTAACTAGGACAGCTGAGACATGAATTGACAAGACAACATGAAAGTGGCTCAATATGTCGTAAGTATGGTTAGAAACGTCTCTGAATTGTCTGGAGGTACAAGTCATAAAACAACCAGTGACCTGAGCTCCCAAATGGGCTAACTAGTATATCCACGGATAATGTGCCAGATCTGAAAGCCCCCATGGGCAAAGTATTGCTTCGTACAGAAAACTATAGTTTGAATTGTAAGAAATCTTTTTGTAGAGCGTACCCATCACTATCTCAAGTATAGTGCAAGGAAGGCAAGAAGTGACACATATGGGGCCGCGTTACCCACGTCTATGCTCTCCTAAGCTCGCCCCATATGGAGGTATCAATATGTCGCTTTGTGATTTTATGTAATTAGTCAGCTCACGGAGACATCATATGGTCTCTACACCATATACTTCAAAATAAGTATCCCATACTGCATGATTATTCCATACTTGACAGCGATAACTTCCGATATTCCGCTCAAAGATACGGGATAGTGTTCATCGTGTCTTCGCATAGGTGAAAACTGAAGCAGGAGAACGGCTACTACACCTACCAGCTCAGGCATTGAAGGTAGTATGATAAAGGCAGCTCAATGACATAAACTATGTAATATCGAGTGATAGTAAGATAATACTCTCAACACTATTGACAGACGATGATAGGACTATCCTCTAAAGCCATGACTTCTTCAGTACTCACCAACTCCAAACCATCGTGAGAGGCATAAGATCGTGATATGTTGTCATTATTGTATCCGAAAGACGACCAAGAACCCTAGCCATCCATTGAACGCCATAAGCCCGCCCAATTCCTTGATTACGCCAAACCAGACCAAAAGAACACCGACCCGTCATATGAACGCAAATACGACAAAGATAACTGGTTCAACGAGAGGCAGGATTAGGGGAGTATTGAGCCTCTCTTACCCCTTGATAGTATCCCCAACCGCAGACGAGCACCACCATCGCAGCAGAATCTTCATCTCGGGGATGTTCTGTTCCCAGAATGCAAAGCGTTTAGATTGACGGATCACCAGGTTGGTGCCATCATGATGGCCCAAAAGAATGCGAGCATGTCTTGGACCCACGAAGGAAATGAGTAGCACCTTTTGGGCAAGTTAGCCACAGGTATTGAGATGAGACAAAAGAAAGGAATTATAACACTTACCGGACTGACTTGATGGGCACGATACTTTTTGGAACGGAGGCAAGTAATCATGATACGACACATACACAGGATCTCCCCACGGGTAATCTGATCATCGTTCGCGTCCACGCTCTCGAGTAATAAGCATTTCATTCGGGGCCCACCCGGAATGCCAGTTATACCACCCGCGCACCATTCGAAGGGATTCTCAGTATCAAGCTCGCAGAGGGAACATGGAAAGTCAATGGGCCTGGAGACGAATTAGATATTTGTTCGCCGCAAGATACGTTGGGTCTGCCCTGTGGATGGGAATTGATCGTACTGTCTGGGACTGTGATACCAGTTATCACTGCCAAGACGTATGGCACTGGTAATATAATGCCCGAAGTAGTAGCTTAGGATGTGTGCCTCGTCCATCGGATCCGTGGCTTCCTCCGGACTGGAAGGCGAAAACTCCATCTCCTCATCAGGATTCGGAAGGGGCTTCTTGTAGGGCCAGAAAAATTCAGACTCGAATAACGGTTCTCCATCGGCGGACAGGGGCATGGGGAGGATCTGAATGGGGAGGTCATGCACGTCTTTGTGCTGATATCGATTTTCGCGACGTTCGGAGATGGCACGCGCGATCTCCTTGATAGTATTTCGACGAGCTTGGTGTTCTTTACTTTCCAGCATTTTAGCAGGATATTATCTTCTAGAATATCGAGAACGGACAGTAGGTAAGGTGGTGGGGGAACTCTAGGAAGAAGGAGGCAGTTGGAGGAAGGAAGGGAGGAGTAGGAGTAGGTCGATATGGCGGAGGATGTTGATTAGATAAAGGGCGGTCCCGGGGCAACCACCCTCTTTTTTTACCGCCCGCAATATCAATGGGCGGTTCCAGACTATAGTCTACTCCAACCCTCAGAGAGACGCACGGACTTCTTCCCCTCTTCGTGATGCACTCCAATCCATTACCATTCACTGGCGGGTATTCCAAAATGATACACTGTCTCCTTCCCACCTTCACAAGACCCCTGCCAGTGCTGCAGCGTAAGACTTTCACTGGCCAACACCACAAGTAGTGAAAGTCGCCAGCCTTGGTGGCTTCCCTTTAAATAGCAACTATGGACTAGCAGGCCCCCGTAGGCGCCTTCCTTCCCCTCACCCCTCTACAACTTCTGGATATTTCGCCTTAAGTTTATTGTTAGTCTAGCGCTTTTGCCAGGTACCTCAAAAATATTACCTCATGGCTACTACCCGGTGGTAGTCACTAGAAGTCATGAATAAACCAAATGGAGATGTTCCCGCGACAGCCGCTGAGTGGGCTGATTTGGCGAAGAAGAATGGTGTCCTAAATAAACTCATCCACGCGGAAGAATTGGACTCTGCTTCAAAAATCAAATTGCGTCAGTATCTGCTTCTGCGTATCCTTCGCAAAAGATCACAGAGGACTAAGCTGGATCCCAAGCGGCTTGGCCTAGAACCGTGGATGAACCAGGCTAAGGGCATGCTTCAGTCTTATCCCTCCTGGAACATCTACCGCGAGAGCTTCAAGGGTAAACTTGAGGAAGGGAACTTCTTCTTGGTTAAGAACTCACAGGCCGAGGCAGCGAAGGTCAAAAGCAACGAAATCTCCAACAATGTCATCTTCTCCCCGGTTTCTAAGCGCACGCGCCAAAACACACGCAAAAGACGCGAAGAGCACACACCCGAAGAGCACGCAACGCCGACTAGATCGAACCTGCCTTCTGTTGAGACGCTCACCCTCAATGATGACGCTACTTCAAAAGCGCCCGTAACCCCAGGAAACAAGGAAGACGAAGATATCTTCCCGGAACCACCGTCCGTCTCTACGGGAGGCTCTCTAGGGCCCGAGGAGCTCCTACGCGAGATGTACCCCGCAGTCGATGATGAGCAAATTGTAAATGTTGCTCTAGTCAACTTTCTCCAAGCTCTAACGGATTATTTCCCTTCGCTTAAGAGCTCCTGGACCATCCACCGCAAGCCGCTTAAAGCTAAGTTCAACGATGCAGAGTATGAGGCAAGGACGGACGGTTATCTGCGAGGCAAAGTTGATGGGGAGGTGCGTGCTTTGATCGAAGTGAAAGCAGCACTTCGGGAAAATTCCCGGCTTGAGATCTGTATGCAGGAAGGTGCACAGATGGTCGCTTGGCTTAAGAATTATTCCAAAACACCTGGGAAGCTCCCGTTCCGGTAAGCAGGCCATTACTGACAATGTTGTATCGTGTTATCAAACTAACTCGGATTATCAGTCGTTTTCACATCTCACAAGATAGACATCAGATCTGGCTCAGCTTTGCCGAGTATGACGATGAGTACATCAGATACATTGAGCATGGATTTCAAGATCCAGGACGTCCTCGATCATTCCTGACGATTCATGAATTTGGTCCATTCAATACTCTCAAAGAGTCACATATGACTGAACTTGCAGTTCTTCTCCTTGCGCTTACTCTGCGTGCTGATCACGATCGCAAAGAAGAGCAGGAGAGCAATCCATTCGATAACTAAGGATGTGGTAGATTGAGGAAAGCCGAGGAAGGAAGTTGCAAGATCACAGCTGCATTTTTTCTGCAATACTCCCCGTAAACCGTCACTATGGCTGGACACAACAGGATAGGAAACCCTTCCCCCACATCATGCGTCATGCGGGGTGCATCATAACTCCTAAGTATCAGTAGCCAATAGTGTAGGTTTTACTACAATCAATTTTGTTACCAAAATAAAATTATGACTTGCGCAAGCCTTGCATAAGGCGGGGAAAGTCTCCGCGGGGATTATGGGGAGGCAGAACGCGCTGAAGATCGAACGGTATACTCTTCGTTGATGATGCGGGATAGGCAGGCAGCAGTAATCAATAATTTATAACATAAGGGATATGATTCAGTTTCTTGCACCTAGTGGCAGACGATACCTAAGTAATGAGGAGCAGATTATTTATACCGAACAAAAAGCTACTAGTGTGGTACAAGTAGGGTAACTTCAACGATGAGAGCCCATCATGAGAATAGCAAAAGACACCAATACCCAATCATCTGCCTTTGATAAACAAGTCACAGAGTATCAATTGCAATGGCATGTCGTGTCACCACTACTGACAGTTATTACTTACCGCTTCTAGCATATAGTCACATTATGGGTTACCTCTCCAGGGACATGCATCACTTTGAATGAAAGTAGTACGTTGACTACCTTGTTTGAATAACTGCCCGCGGTCGTATCTCACCACTATCCTGTGGCTCAGCTGAGAAAGAGAGAAAGACCTGTTACACTAATCTTGCGGTCAATACCATTCCTTGCGTAGCAAAAGGAAGGGCTCGAAGAGACTTAGATTCTTCTTAATCTTCATTATTATTGTGCGAGGAACCCTAGCCTCACCATCAGGTATAAAAGAGTCCACATCACCCGGGACCTCACCAGCATAAACCAAAGCAATCACATCCTCTTAACAATCCATCCATCAACCTCCAAAAACCGTCGCTTTTTCTTGTTTATCTCCCCGTGAACACTACTCCACCCACAATATGAAGCCTTCCATGATCTTTGTACCCCTCCTCGCCGGACTCGGCATGGCAGGTGTCGTCAAGCAGAGAGAGGAATCCGTTGCAGATGTGGCCGATGTCGCGAACGTCGCCAACGGGGCCAAGGTCGCGGACAGCATCAACAACGCCAACGTTTCCGACAGTATTGATGTTGCCAATGGCGAGGAAGTCGCCGATGGTGCCGAAATATGCTGCAACACGACTCCCTGTTTTATTGGGTGTTACGTCAATGGTGAATGGGCGGTAAGTCTTTTTCTACCAGCTGCAAGATCAGACTTTCTTTTCTTTTGAGCACTTGCAGTGTGCTAATAAGACTTGGGGAAACACCAGTTCTGTTGCTAGATATCGAGTATCCTAAGAGGCTCTTGCGCTAACAGATGGGTAGCCGGTTTGTCCAAGGGGGAAAAAATGATAGCTTTGGCCGTTGTATGGAGTTCTCTACATGTACTAAGTAGGTGTGGAGTTTAAGCTCGGCCGGCCAGAAGCGGGTTCCGCTCGTTTAGTTTCTACTTAGTCTCATGTGTCTACTTTGAGTATTGTAGAACTCTCAGGAATGGATGTCATTCTGAAACCTATCCTTTATCATCACAGACAGAAGAGCGTATCAGTCCGAGAATAGTAAAAAAGAACGGACAAGGCCGACACCCGCAGTGATCAAATTGAGATTATATGCCATGCTTGGTTGTGATCATCAGCCCTATTGTCCCGCGGGCATCAGCAAGGAGGAGTTGGCACTTGACAGTAGCATGTACATTTATGAGGATAAGACCCCACATTCCACTTCAGAGCCGAGAGCCGATGGCTGGCTGACTTTTGATACTATCAAATGACTCAGTCAATGAGGATATCAACTGAGGCATACGCTTGTGGCGTAGCTGAGGTGTTAGCCTGTTCTTGTTTTGTGATAGCAACCATTGAGATCCGAAACTCCAAATACTATACATCAATCCTACTGCGTAGATATGTGTCATATCCAGGCGGGTGTTGTTCCAAGACAGGTTGTGCTCCGGACTATCGGACGTCTGGTGGGCATAAGCAAAAATTTTTTTATCATACCTGCATCCAACAAATAGGGCTACCTATACCTAGGAAAAGGGTGTTTGACGGGTAGAAGGTCACGGGGTAATCCGGGGAAAGGGGGAAAGTAAAGAATGAGAACGCAGTTGAAGTTACAAAACATTTATGCCCATCGAAATATTGAATTCATCTCAGAGAGAATTACCGCTGTAGAACAATTGAATGTGGTTTGTCTGAGGCTGAGGGAGGGGTGCTCTAGCTTGTTTATCATGAACCTCAGAAGAACGACGACGATATTTCGGAGAAAATCCAGTGGTTGTTTGATCTACTGCAAGAGAACAAATTATATACAGATGATAATTCAAGCCTTGATCTCTTCATTTACTTCATTCGTCATTATCCCGTTACGCCAAATGTAGCTCATCAATACCCTCTACAGACGGTTCTTCAGCGGCGTCTCAAACCCATCTTCACCCGTATCCTCCCGATGCAACCTACTCCCCCTGGGATCTACCAACGGATCAGCCGACACCGTCGCCTTAATCTGTTTCCCAAAGTACTCAATCACAACTGCATCCCCCTCGCGAACCCTCCCGGGCAGCCACGCATACGCAGCGGGCTTCTTCGTCGTATAGCTAAATACCGCAGTAGTAATATACCCCACGGGCCTGCCCTCAAAATGGACAGGTTCCTTGCCCATAACCATAGAATGACCATCATTCACAGTCAAGCACCGCAGACGCCTCAGCGGAGGCTGTTTCCGCTGCGCCGCACTCTGAAGCGCAGCCTTGCCCACAAACTCCTCCTCCTTGTCAAGATCAACAAGATGCGCAACTCCCGCTTCGAGCGGATCATGCTCCGTTGTCATGTCTACTCCGTATGTCCGGATTCCTTTCTCCAGCCGCAAGGCGTTCATAGCGCTACGGCCTGCGGCGACAAGACCGTGTGGTTTACCAGCTTGCCAGAGTATATCCCACAGACGGGAACCGTATTCGGCGCTTGTTTGGATTTCCCAGCCGAGTTCGCCGACGTAGGATTTGCGGAGTGCAGTTATGGGGATACCGGCTACAGTGGCGCGTTTGACGGACATGTAGGGGAGTGCGGTGGTGGAGAAGTCGTCGTTGGAAACGGCGCGGATTACGGCCCTTGAGCGAGGACCCCAGAGGCCAATGCAGCAGGTGTTGCCGGTGATGTCGGAGACGTGGACCCATTGGGCTGGGGTGTGTTGTCCTTGACGACGGGCTTCGACGGATAGGTAGGCGACATCGGTTGCGGTGTTGGCGCCGATTTGGAAGAGGTCGGGATCAAGGCGAGCGACGAAGATGTCGCTGCGGATTTTGCCCTGGGAGTTGAGAAGAAGGGTGTGTGTGATGGCGCCGGGAGGGGCGGTGATGTCGCTTGTGGTTAGGCGCTGCAGGAGAGTGGCTGCGCCGGGTCCAGATACTTGTACGCGGTGGAATGAGGTCAGGTCATACATGGCGACGGCGTTGCGGGTTTTCCATGCTTCCACGGCGGTGATGGGGGAGGTGTATCGCGAAGACCAAGTGTCTCGGGGAGGTGGTTGCCATTGTTCTGGGAGAGCGTGTAGGAGCTGTGCGTTGGCTTCGTACCAGAATGGGCGTTCCCAGCCGCCGAGTTCAAGGAAGAAGGCTCCGAGTGCTCGTTGTTTCTCGTAGAAGGGGCTCACTCGGAGCTGTCGGGGGGACTCTCTCGGTTGTAGGGGATGGAGAATGTCATAGATCTCGACAAAGTTCTGTTGTGAGGTCTCATTGACGTAGTCCCGGCTCAGCTGTACTTCCTCAAAGCGAGATAGCTCGCACTCTGTGAGGTCGATGGTAGATGCACCGTATGTGAGCATCTCCGCCATGCTTCGCGCGACTCCTGCGGAGTGAGTGACCCAGACGGCTTCTGCTACGTAGAAACCGTCGAGGCTTGACGCTTGTCCGACGAGGGGTCCTCCGTCTGGGGTGAAGGAGAAGATGCCGTTGAATCCGTCCTGCAACTGCGTATCGCGGAGGACAGGCAGAAGCTCCTGTGAGGCTGTCCATGCGGGTGCAAAGTCTTGGGCCGTGAACTCGAGCCGCGAGGGCATATGCTTCTCGTCCACATGCTCCGGAGTCTGACCCAAAGTCGCCGCCACCACCGGCATTGGACGGTGTCCATAGTATCCAATTCCCACCTGGTCTCCATGCTCCCGGTAGTATAGATCCTGATCCTGATGCCGCAAGATGGGCATACTCGCGTTCATTCCGTTCGGACGGTTGTTGACGTCGCGGTTCGCTAGAGCGGGGACTGTGGTTGTCTTCGCATATTGGTGGGCAAGTGGTAGGAGAGGGATGGAGACCCCGGCCATAGCACCGATTTCGACGCCCCAAAAGCCGGCGCAGGAGATGACGATATCAGCAGGAATTACACCATGGGAGGTATTCACGCCCGTCACACGAGATCCTGTCTTTTCAATGCCTGTAACAAGCGTCGAGCCTCGGTAGCGGACCCCGGCCTGCTGGGTCCGGGCGATGAGCAGTTGGGTTGCGCGGGCAGCTAACGCGAGACCATCGGTCGGAGTGTGAAGACCAGCGAGTACGAGATCCTTGTTAAGCAGGGGATACTTCTCCAAACACTCTTCCTTTGTCAGAAGACGCGCTTCAACACCCCAGGACTTCGCATAGCCGTACTTGCGCTTCAGCTCTTCGACTCGGGCCGGTGTCGTAGCTACCTCGAGACCTCCTATGGAATTGAAGCACGGCATGCCATTCTCATCATTTAGCGATCGCAGCTTGTCGACCGTATATTGCGCAAGACGAGTCATCGTCTTAGAACCATTGGTCTGGAACACCAGCCCGGGGGCGTGGGATGTTGAGCCACCCGGCAGGTTCAACGGGCCCTGCTCAACGACGGTGATATCCTGCCATCCCCGCGAGACCAATTCATCGGCGAGATTGGCGCCCACAATTCCTGCTCCTATGATGACCACACGTTGTGTTGCTGCCATCTTCTATCTTTTGGTAAATTGGATGTTCATTCGTTGAAGTTGAACAGATAATCTGTCATACATATTATGAGCAGTCCCTGGCGGAAGGTCCAGCTATTATTGACAGCTGGTGAGGGCAGTGGCCGGCCAGACTGGCCGGACCAGCAACGGCAACAATTCCGTGGCCGAGCCGATCATGGATGATGGATACTCTAACAGGCCAACACAACCGTCGAGGTGCAGGAATGATAAGACCATCAAGCAGATCGGATGGAAGGCGGGGATCGGGCCAGGGAACCGTCTCCACCCGGATTCATGCAGTAACGCTTCTTGGGCCATGGAAACATTGCCCTAATGGGGCAAGGCGGTGCTAAGCTGGCCTGGAAGCTTGGACCACGTCTCTTGCAGTTGGCTCGCATTGAAAGACAAGTAGATAGTATCCGTGGTCATCATCGCATGACCTGCAAGCTTTCCGACCGTGGATGCGAGGCGGGGAGAGAACCAGATGCAGCTGTGCGGGGTTAACAAGACATGATTGTAATCATTGGCTCAGATAAGATATTATGGTTAGCTCAAAGAATAGACAACTATCTTAACTACAGCTAGATGTCCATGCACATCAACGTTCCCAGCCACGGCACATTGTTCGACCTCATATGGCTCCACTCCCCGACAGCCCGGAACCCTTGCTGTTCATAGTACCTATCAAAGACATCCATGTTAACACCCCCAATTCTGATAAACTGCACAAAATGATGAAAAGAATTATATAGGAAATAGAGATAAACGAACCTGATCAATTTCCTCTCATTCCCCGCCCACCCATCCACCCACAATGCCCTCATCCCTCTGGCCTCTCCATACTCCCGAATCCCCCTGATAAGCGCCGCTCCGGACCCGCGAGACAGCTCCCTCCGATCCTCCCGATTATCCGTCACCATAACCTCGAGGTAAAGAAATCCTCCACCACCATGGTTAACATCCGGTATCGGAAGATGAGTCTGCGTCTTCACATAATTCGGCACCCAGTTTTCGCGCACGTACGCAACTCCAACGGGTAAGAAGCGTCGTCCGTCGGGTGTCACTCGTACGAACTCAGCTTGAAGCTGTCCATCATCGTGCTGCTGCTGCTGGTATAATTCTCGCTCGGCGATGAACATACGGAGATTACTATCCAGGCCGCTAGTCCCTGTGAGGCGGAACTCTTCGGAGTAATTCAGTTCTTTTAGGGTTGCTTCGGCGAAGTCCCCTCGCTGGGAGAAAGGGGTCTTGCCCCATTGGTCGAGACTGCCGATGGAGGCCAGGAAGGGGAGGGAGGAGTCGAAGGCGGACAGGATGAAGGCGTGGTCGGTGGGAGTGGGTTTGGCGGGGCGGAGGTGGAAGGGGGAGGTTGAAAAGGTGGTCATTTTGGATACTATTGTTGATGATTTTGTGGGTTATGGGTGTAGAGACAGTGTTGCTGGGCAGTAGGTAAAGTGCTCGGGCTAGATGTTCGTTGAATTGGGATTCTACTACTCAGGGGGTTCAGTGGGAATAAAAAAAAAAGGCTGTAGGTTTCCCCAGTTAATTTCCGTTATTAGTAGTGTGTTTCTTATCAGGGAATAACTAATAGACTAGGCGCTAGCATTCATTGTCATCTAAATGCACTGCTCTTTACTAGTGCCATATTCCCTCATCCGCCATTACCATCACAACTAAACCCACCTATCATAGCTTCGCAACCCCTACCTGGGAAAGACACTGATACATCTCGACTTCAAACTTTATATCGCCTTTAATACAAACAAATGCCCAGAGAACAATCCTGGAGCTATACCAATCCGGTGAAGTCCACATTTCACTAAATGCAGTATGGATGTGTTAATTTCGCAGGACCAATAATCAGAGCAAAATATGTAGCGTGCGAGGTTATAATTGTATCATTGTGAATTGATATATCTGCGCTAATGTCTTCATATGCGGCTATATCCATCCATTGGACACGTCTAAGGTTAATACTGCTCGAATCAGACACTGCTCAACTACTGATACAACATAGCTATAATCCTAATTATCATTTTCTTCTTCTATTTAAGGTTACTCCCGGCTTTCTGTAATGAAGTCACTCAAACTAAAGGCTTGGGACCCCATAGTCACATATCTAATCCATTTTCTTTCACAAAAGTATTGTTGAGAAATGATGGCGAAAAGTTGAAGCTTAATCCCTAATCAGTGACATAAGTCTATATATAATAAGCAAGTTCCCCTCAGAACAGAAACTGAAAGCACGCAGATTCTCCAATCGAGAGTGTCATACTAACCCTGATCAAACCGTCATTGTTTATCACCATGAACTCCACCCCCTGCACAGCATGCAGCTGGACCCCCGAACGCCAAAACCACTGCAACTACAAAAGCCACCTCAAACTCTTCCACAAAGCAGGCGACCGAGGCACCTGTTCCATCGGCTCAAAGGTAATCCTGAAAGACCACGGTCACAACCTCCCAACCTCCGAGGTCCCAAACATCCATTTCGTGCAAGACCGGACCTCTATCCCCGTCCCCACTATCATCGATTCCTGGGAGGAGGAGGAAGATAAACACACTCTCACCCTAATGCGACGTATCCCCGGCGAACCGTTAAGCAACATCTGGTCAAAACTAACCCCCAACGAAAAAGAAACCATAGCAAAGCAAGTCGCCGAGTATCTCCAACAATTCCGACCTCTCCAGTCGGATAAGATCCAATGTCTCGGTGGTCGTCCAGTATTCTCTAACTTCCTCTTTAAGAATGATTCTAGTAGCTCCTCTGGTGAGATTGAGATTCCCCGCGGTCCCTTTGCAACTGATGACGAGCTTTGGGCTGAGATGGAGCGTGGGTTGGATGAGAGGATTCCAGAGGCTGCGAGGGTACGGCTGAGGCAGCGCATGCCGGCTGCTATGCCGTATACGTTTACGCATGGGGATCTGACCATTGGGAATATTATGGTGGAGGGTGGTGAACTTACTGGGATTATTGGTTGGGAGATGGCTGGGTATTTTCCTGTTTGGTGGGAGTATGTGGCCACTTCGGTTGCTGATGGTGAGGAGGATAGAGAGTGGAAGATGTTGTTGAGATGGTATTTGCCGGATTATAGTGCTGCGCGGGAGTTTTGGTTGGAGTATTGGTATCTTTGTAGGGATTTGGAGGGTGAAAGAGTATAGAGGTTTTTGGGGAAGATGGGGGAAGAGACAAGTGAGTGAGTGAGGGAGGTTGTGCTGTTGGTGGTGGGTTGGTTGATATAGAGGGTGCTGAATAGCTAGTATGACAATCTGAGGGAGATTCTGGCTTGTTTGAATCTATGTGTGATTATGTTATGCCTATAAGAAATAGGACATACACTCCTCCTTTAGTACAGATCTAGTCTATAAGAAGTTTTACCACCCTCTGGAAGCAATCCCATCACAGCCTCATCTCCTCCATGATACCGACGCAAATACATCCAAATCGCAGGACACTCCACCCTCGCCCTAAGCCCAATCCACCAAATACAACGTCCAGCTTTTCTATACCACAGGTACAGCAACACCAACGCAACAGGATCCCTATCCCTCAACAACCCCTCAAACCCACCCTGAATACACCGCATAAACATCTGCACCGGACCCATCGTGACCTCACTATCCTCAACCTCCAAGATCTGCGCTACCGCATGAGCAGCATGAAAATACGGAATCGTTTCCGCCGTAGAATCATCCGTGATACCACACAGCGCCGCTAAAGCAGGAGGTATACCCTCTACTCCTCCTTGTGGCAACGGCGAATGCACATAGGCAAACGTCCCCGCCATAACATGAAAGATACTATCCGAGCGCAGCGGATTGACTATATTCCACAGAGACATTTTCCCCTTGTTCATATGCACCCAGTCCAGATAGGAGGAAGGGGAGGGGTTCAGTGGCCATGATTCTTCCGGGGTGCGTGCGTTAGGAGATGAGAAAGTCAGAATTACTAGCGCGGCTGCTGTGCCCCATATGGGATCCCTGTCATCAGGTTCTATGGATTCGCGAAGCTTCTTGTTGAAGAGGATGGTGCTTTGCGACCAGTGGTAGCATTCTTCCAGAGTGCGGTGGCTGTCGAGCGGGCTGTTTAGGTGGCGGTCGTAGGTGAGTGATACTGCTAGGGAGGCGTGCATTAGGTAGGGATGCTACAATTGGGTCATTAGTATCTTAGTCTGGACTTTTGAGGGATGGGGTCAACTTACGGTAAAGGCTTGTTCTAGCAGCTTACGATTTACGCGTCCCATGTTTGGATCATCGGGGGTAATGAGGCTGCGCCCTAGATACCGGGTGATGAAGTCTTGGCATCTGGTGTTCAGTCGAAAGAACGTTGAGGCGTCTGAGGTCCAGATGGCATTGCTGAGAGGGGCCTGCAGGCTTGCTGCTGATGCTGTACCTCGAACCATCCATGACCGGCGCGAGTCAGCGGGAATGGGGTGGAGGTCGGGAGTCGTGGTTGATGTGAAGGTGCATACAACCCCGAATGAGCTACATCGTTTGCATTGTGGTTTGCTTTCGTCGCACTACTTGATATGGATCAGTAGGGATGGTTTATCTACGAGGTGCTAGGGGCACCCACCTTCAGTTTCCGCAGCTTGCAATTGCGGCAGCCGAATCGTGATCTTCGCCGTGTCTTTCCTGGACCTTCCCGTGCTTCTCGGGAGTCAGTCGATGTCATTGTAATTGAAGGGAATTAAATTGGATGCTGGAAGGATTTGGGACTGGTAGTCATGGCCCCCAATAACTACCTGCATTTAGTCATAAGCTAACCGTGTCTCGGATCTTTGCATCTCAACGCTAAACCCGCACTCGGATGCAGACATCGCTGATTGGCTGCCACTTGCCTCCACCAGGACCAACTATAGTATACATCAAGAGATGATTGACATGCCATGATACATATTTTAAAATATAAAAAGGTAAGTGTTGCTCAGGATAACTCCCAGTATTTATATTTCCAACTTCTTCCCAACCATACAACTTGAATTTCGCTCGAGACACCAAGAAATCTGCCATTCAGTTCATACACCTTACGACTTCTACCCATTAAAGGCTTCATACTTCACCACCACAGCAGTCATACACTACTACAACTATATAGAAACAATATGCCCACCCACCTCGCCGCTATCCTCCCCTCCAAATCCACCCCTCTCGCCCTTACCACCCGCCCAACCCCAACCCCAGGCCCCAACGACCTCCTTATCGCCGTCAAATCCATCGCCCTCAACCCAGCAGACGCCATCATGCGCGACACAGGCCTCTTCATCCCTTCTTACCCTACCGTCATTGGCTTCGACCTATCAGGCCTAGTCCTGGAAGTCGGCACCAACGTCCCCAAGCATTTCCATCCAGGAATCACCCGCATCGCCGCCTACTCCGCCTCCGTCTGGAAGGGCTGCGATCCGAACTATGGTGCTTTTCAGGAGAAGTGTCTTGTTCCGTGGCAGCATGTTGTGCCGCTTCCGGACGAGGGAGTGATGATCTCGTGGAATGAGGCGGCTGTGTTACCTGTTGCTGTGCAGGTAGCGCTTAATGCGTGGGAGATGATGGGGTTACAGCTGGCGTGTGATACGCAGACCAGTGATGGGATTAAGGGTCAGATGGGGAAGAAGAGAGAGGTACTGTTAGTCTGGGGCGCATCCTCTAGCGTTGGATCGATGGGTGTGCAAGTTGCCCGAGTACTTCGGGATCAACCTGATTCTTCGTTTGCTGCTGTGTACGCTACTGCTGGGGCGGCGAATCATGAGTATGTGCGGTCGTTGGGTGCGGATCGTGTGTTTGATCATAGGGATCCGAATGTTGTGGATGAGATTGTAAAGATGGCTAGAGAGGATGGTTGTGTGATTCGGCATTGTTTTCTTGCGGTAGGGGATGTGCAGAGGTGTCAGGCTGTGGTTGGAGCTTTTCTGGGGGGCGCTGATGGGGATGGGGATGTGAAGGCGAAGATTGCATCCGCGCCGGTTGTTCCTTCTCATGTGGAGGTGGTGGATGGGGTGGAAGTTATCTTTGTGATGCCGGCGATGGATGATGAGGAGAAGAGGTTGGGTCAGTTTCGGTATTGGATGGGGACGTGGGCGAGGGAGAATCTGGCTAATGGGAATATCAGGCCGAGTCCGGAGCTGAGGGTTGTTGGGAGGGGGTTGCAGGCTGTTAATGATGGGTTGGATGAGTTGAGTCGGGGAGTGAGTTGTACTAAGTTGATTGTTGAGGTTGCAGAGTGATGGCTTTTGGGGTGTGATGCAGTTTGCTTGATGGAGTGACGTGGAGATATAGATCAGGTTCTGTGTAGTAGTCATAGAACAGATTTTCCAGATGGAAGGTTGTAGACCTAGATAGTACTACATTGTAATTAGCGGGCTGCACAGAATATGAACGAGCTAGTCATTTTCAATGAACGTAAAAAGGAGGCAATAAGTCTTCGACAGCTATAGGCATCAATGCAATTGGAATAATTCAGGGCACAGTTCAGGAGAAAGCCACATAGATAATATCAGATCTAGCTGCCATGTAAAGCCAAGCTAGCCCAGTCTCGACTTAACATCTTCAACAGACAGTACCGGCTGGGCCTCTGCATCCTCGTCCTCCAGCGGTGGAAACAAAACCGAATCCACAACATGACACACTCCGTCACTAGCCAACCCATCCTGTACAGTCACGTTTGCACTACCATTCACCTTCATTGAAATTAAGCCCCCACATCGGGTCACAGCAACCGTCAGATGTTGCCCATCCAAGCACGTAGGCAAGGAAAAGCGACGAACTCCCTTGAGTATACGCCACAAGCGATCCGCCTGATTCTCAGGAGTAGGAATGGTATGATCGGGCGTAGCTTCTGGCGTCTGTATGAAATGCTCTGGCGCAGAATCCTGATCGTAGAAACGGTTGGAGTACAATGATTGATTCGCAATTACATGATGTCTCAACAGAGTCTGAAGAGATGCAGCCCCTTCATCGCTAAAGAGGTATGTCTGGACTTCATCAGGCAGCTTGCGGAAAGCTTCGTTGGTGGGGATGAAGATAGTTCCGCCGCGACGAGACTCGTCCCGCAGAATATTCTGCATAGCTCCAGATTGCTTCACTGCAGACTGGAACAGGTCAAAATCGGATGACGGCAGAGCAGCGAGAAAAGCTGCAATGGTTGGTCGCGGTGGAAGGACCTGGTCGATTAGATGGACCAGACCGTTTGCCACGAGATGATCCTGTTCAATTACGGCAGCATGGGAGTTCACGCGAAGGCCATTGAGTGAAGGACGGACTGTTATTCTCTGGGCACCATTTAATCGGTCAGGATTGAATATTGTGTCGACGGTTGGGGCTGTTAGAAGGAAATATATTGGAAGAAATGATGGCGAAATGTGTCTTTGAAGGAGAGCCAGAACATCTTCCTCAGATAGCTCATTGCTCAGTTGTTGCAGTGCAGTGTTGCTTGGGACCCAGGCAGTGGATGAATAGTCTTTGTTTTGCAATAAATGTTTGATCTGAGGGACTTGGTCCACAAGTCGGATGAACTCGGACGTATTGGGTTTCGCTGCAAGGAAGTCATAGAGGGTCACTGGGGCTTTCTTTGCATCGGTCAAGTGTGGCATAAGTGCATGACAGTATCCAGCATACTGATGTTGAAGCTGCTCAAGGCTGCTTTCGGTTGGGGCAGCTGTGGCTATCCATTGCTTGAGCTCGGATGCAGCCATGATGAACGATTATGGGAGAAGCAAAGGACTAGCTGAGCGTGTGAGGGACTAGGCAGCATCATTAGTTGATATAGTCCCATCGACCCCCTTGTGTTCGCGCCATAGACATGGGTATATGGGTTGATAACAGCGCTAGTGCTAAGTATATTGACTAGCCAGAGGATGGTAACCAATGGCCTGCATTAGCATAATATATTGTAGATAAGAAGATTGAAAGACAAGCTCTCCGAACAGCAAGCCCGTTGCTTTCCGCGTGCATTAGTATCTTATCTCATATCTCTAGTCCTGTCTTCTGATACTGCTGGAAAAGGAGATCACCGATCAGTATCGCGATGACTACAATGGCATCCTCTCTATGAATCCCCCATACTCCCATCAACCCTCTTCACCCCCTCACCCCCCAACCCATCCACCCACCCATCCTTCCGATGATAATAAATCTCCATTTCCAACTCCGAGCACTTAACCCGATGCTCATCATCAAGCGTCCCCGACTTCACCGCAACAACCTCCTCATCATCGCTCGATCGTGACGTGAACGGTGTTCCGCAATCAGGACAAAACTCTCGGAGTACCTGCACACCCCTCTTACTGCTGTCCGTATACAGCTTGGGTGTACCCTTCGTATACTCGAAACTAGCCTGTGGGATGATAATATTGGCAGAGAAGCTCGAGCCCGTGTAGCGTTTGCAGTGGGTGCAGTGGCAGATGATTAGCTGGTATTTGTTAGTGGTGGGCTTAATAGGCCGGTGATTATGAACAGTTGATAATGTGTAATAGTACCTTGGGGTATCTCTCTGGGTCTGGCAAGGTAATGCGATATGTGATGTTCCTGCAGAGACAGGCGCCTGTCAAGTTGTTCTGAGCCATGATGAGGGTTGGGGTTGTTGTGGCGAACAGAATAAACAGCTTTCGGGCTTTTATTATCGGAAGTGCAGCGTGTCATTGGAAGGGCGTAGTTCTGGAAGCACAGATACTAGAGGATGCTTCATAGCCAGATTGCTTGGTATCCATATTTGACCCACTATGGTCCATATTAGCATGATTTGAAGCTATTTTTATCCTGGGATGGTGGACAGCAACTCATGTCGAATACGAAGCCAAGAGAAAGTGAAACCGGGCTTGTATCTATAATTAGTCCACACACACAATGGAAAATACTGAACATGCGCGTTGATTGTTCCTGATGGTCTCGGTGACTATGCAGTCAGTGTGTCTGAGAATATACTACCCTAGGAATGATGATTGATTTACAAGATTGTACATTTGAGATGCTCTTAAATGCAATCTGCACTTGGATTCTGCAGGAATATTCATATAAACCCAATTGCAGGATAAGATCACAAGTAGTATACACAGTGTTGAACATGGCAGCATGGGATATATACACAAGCACACAGCCGAAAATAAAAACAATTATACAACAATAGTGGAAGTGATATAAAACAAATGCCAACCCGAACTCACAGCAGATCATCAATTTCACGAATCTGCCCCAGACAGTGCTTCTCGCTCCATCGAAGCGCAATCGACTTCGGGTCAATGTCAATGCGGCCCAGCACGGCCTCCAACTCATATTCCTCATCCCAGCCCTCGATCGTCTCCTGGAGATGGGCCTTCTTGTACAGGCGCCGTTCATCAAGAGGGCGCTTTAGTAGCCGGCGACCGGCCTTTTTCACCGTCGGGTTGGTCTTGAGCTGCCACAGCTGGGGATCGCCCTGGCTCTTCTTCTCCAGCAGCTCAACGGCATGCGTCAGATACTCGATCTTCTCCATGTCCCGTGACGCATCCTTAGATCCTTCGGCTGAGCTTAGCTGACGTTGCAGGTTTCCAGTGACCCGGCGGGCTTCGATGACAAAGTCACGGTTGAGTGCGCTTCCTCGGGCCAGAGCGGTCAAGATGCACCACCGCATGCCATGCAGATTACCAGTCGCGGCAAACGCACGTATGAACATTTTCATGCAGACACCATCATATGCCAACGAGTGCCGGAAGCGGGACATGTAGACGGTTGCCAACAGATCAACAGCCAACTCGGGCTTCTTCACTGCGATCAGTCTTCTGCTGGTCGCTACCGTGATGTGGTGCTTGACCGTCATCTTCTTGTTCGACCAGCACAGCTCATAGAAGCGAAGCACGGCCATATTGATCAGCTGGCCTTCAGCCTCAGAGTCGACCTCCATGATCTGGCGGAAGAATTGGGGGAAGAAGCGAACCAGATGGCGAATATTCTTCCACTCGGAGTCAATCAAAGCACGAGCAGCACCGACACCCTCTTCAAGCAGAGTGCAGATGACTGCGAGTTCAACATGCAACTGCTTGAATTGAAACCGCGCATTCTTGGCATTCTCAAAGCACTTCAACGCCTCCGTCAGCTTACCGACATGCATGTAATGAGACATCTGCTTGTGGAGCTTTTGGTATTGGTCAACTGGCCTCGAGGGAGTCATGTGTTGCAGCGTTCGTTGATACCACGGTAACGGGTCCTGCGTGTACGGCATCAAGTTGACTTCCGCGAGTGGGAATGACCGCTGGTCATATCCAAGCACTTGTTGCGATGTGGCAGCTTGTCCATACTTCGCACGAGCTGCCTGCAGCATCTGCCAGAATCCCACTGGCGCTTCCTCAAGAGCGTGTCGACGTTTTCGGAGCATTTCCAAGAATTCCTGCTCGTTGATGAAGTTCGGCCAACGGCGCTCACGTGCGAACCGCACAAATTCATCAACCATTTCCTTATTACCCTTTTCCACGAATGCCTCCAGAATGTGCTTGTAAAGAATTTTGTCGGGAACCATCTGGAACTTCTCGATATAACGGTAGACAAACTCGCGGATCTCTTCACCGGAATGTGATACCCAGTATTCGAGGAAGATGCGGTCAAATATCGGCGTAAAGTCATACTTCCTCGAGGTCAACTTAAGCTCATGCATCTGCTGTAACCCAGCGTCCACGCCCTCCCAATCACAGGCCAAAGCCCTTCCAAATACCAAAAGACCCTTTGTTCGGCAGCGAAGTGGAATGCCGTATCTAGTCGTCATGTCTTTAACCAGTGCTTCCGCATCAGCCAGCCGACCGAATTCCACGTATGCTTTGATCACGGGGTTAAAGAGCTTGTCAGTGGGTTCCTTTCCCAAGCGTGGAAGGATAGTCAGGATCTTCTTCAATTGCCCGTTCAAAAGCTCGATACTCCTTGTCTTCTTCCAAAGCCCGGCGAGATAGGCGCCGCATAAGCCGCAGCCACGATCAACCTCGAGGTTCCGCAGAAGAAACCATTTGGCCGTAGTAAGTCGATGAGACTCTAGTAAACATCGGAGCACGATATCGACCATTTCCGGTGGCACTTTGAATTTGTGCATGTATCGGGTAAATATAGTGGCGACGGATTCGATGCTCCCCTTTCTCGCTAGCGCGAACATCAAAACTTTCCACATACCAGGGGACACTTTGTCCACGTCTTCTAGGCGCTCGAAAATGTTCCTCGCAACCATAACGTTTTCTTCTCTGCAATTCGCATAAAATGTCTTGACCGTAACTTCCCGTCTATCTGTAGATATGCCGTTCAACGTCGCGGGGTGGGCGTCCAAAAACAAGTGGGCGGCATCAATAGGGCGACCGTGGTCAAGAAACTTTTGCATTTCTTCTGTGACTGAATCATGCCATTGAGCTACATCTTCTGTTTGTTTCTCATGACCTTCGGTTGTTCTTTGGTTCGCATTGGCAAGGGCGGATTTTGCTCGGTCCAGTGCATCGGTCGATCGTGTTAGGTTCGGAGGGAGATCGGGAGCTGAGGTCAAATTGGCTGGTACTTGTCCGGGAGTAAAGGTGTCAATCAACTTTGAGCGTGCAGTGTCCATATAAGTCTCCGTAGGGGCAGCAGGTTGTTGGTCTTGCAGCTGGACATCCCAGCTCAAGTCGTCACCACGGACGTCCACCCCAGCGGGGACAGCTTGCGCTTCTCTGAACTTCCGATCTTGCTCCTTTAGTGATTCCAAGCCCATAAACTCTCCTGCCTCAGCCGCCTCCATCATACGTGCTAATCTCCTTGCTGCAGATGTTGCATCGTAGTTCGGGGCTGAGGTTTGCAGGGCCCGCTTGTTTTCGACAATTCGTTCCGCAACGCGCACCCGACGATGGACGTCGTAGGTAATAGCTGCAACCGTGCAAAAGCTTCCCACAGTCGATCCTGCAAGAGCCAATCGACGGAGGACTCGTAGGGCATTTCGTGATGGCACAGCTGGTGTGCCGCTGGTGGGTTTGGAGACCATGGTGGTTAACCTTGCGCACCGCTGACAGCGGGCTGGGTCGGATCACCACTAAATCATTAAGTGGAAAAGATAGGCTACGAGGATTCAATGACAGAGGAACCGTCAGGAACCCCGCACCGGCTGATCAATTGGGACAATTGGAGTTCTATGATGGGTAGGAGGGATTCGGAGCTTGTCGGTCGGAAAGTTTGCACCAGCTTGGTCGAGTTGGTCGCTACCGCCCGCCGTACCGCATCCGGTCTTTTCCCGGTGTGCCCACTCGTCTTACTAACAACCTTTACCCGGCCTTTTCTCAGACTAACTATTCCGTACTGAGACAACTACTCCATGGAATCATGCTACAATGGTCCTTTGACGAATTCTATCGAATGTATAAACTGCTACCCAGTAATCACACATATATTTGAGCAACTCTATACGCCAATCGTCACGAAGATCAGTCTAATCGTAACCCAGGTCAGCGGACGCGTGTAGTATAGTAACTGCTGGGCTCCACTTCTAGCATCACTAGAGAAGAGGATCCGCCACAAAGCCTTCGTCGTTAGCCTCACCTCGAGGACTATTTGGGTAAGAGTCGTCAAGAGTAACTGCCAAGCACAGTCGTTAGCAGACATTCCTAGACAATAAGGTACGTAGGTTACATACCATGTGGTTTGATGAAAAAACTGGTACAGAAGGTGAGCAAGAACAAGGCCCCCAGGACAACAAATATCGCTGGAGTGAACTTTCCAACCGTCAGGCTGTAAAGGAGGCTGCAAGCGGTTGGAGAGATCACTCGAGCTAAAGCATGCAAGAGTCCTTTCGTGCCAAGTATCTGACCTAACCGTTCACGAGGGACATGTTTCGTGAGAGATGATTGCATTGTCGGTATCCCCATGCCGCCAAGTGCCATGACGATCCCCGAGAATACCATGATGGAACCCTGATATGACATTGCAAAACCCACATAGCCAACCATGTCTAGGAAAAGCGAAAGTCGTATAATAACAATCTCGCAGGTGCTGGAGCCGGGAACGATGTGATCTGGTTTCGGTGGTTCACGGAAGATTGCGATGATGATCGGATATACAACGAAAAGGTTGACGACCCGGGCGATGCTTATAATCGATATGAAGAGACTTGATTCCACATTGCCCCAGTCAAATTTGTACTCGGCATAAATGATGATCACTTGAGCGGTTCCCAACGCTACCCCGAATGCAATGGTATCCATTGCTGTAAGAAGAATAATATTCCTGCGCAAAGCCGGGGTCGCACCGTGACGATTGGGGAAAAGCGTGCTGGGGCGTCCTACTGGCGGTAGCAAAACAGCCAAAGGTGTAATTAGCCGTTTGGGGTTGAGGTTCTCCAGGCTCAGCCAGCCTGCCTCCCCTTCGTCGATGACTTTTCTTCGATGACTGTCCCGCGCTTGCCGCTGCTGGTCTGTCGATAATGATTCCGGGATGATGGTTATGACTGCAATGAGGTAGAGAACATTCAGGGCCAACGAGGCCTCAAAAGTACTCAGTGCCTGGCCTGTTTTCTTAATCAAGATAGCCGCCAGCAGAGGCCCAGCTGCGGTTCCAGCGAAAAGAGAACCGTATACGTATCCGAATGCCGCACTCCGCTTCGTTGGGATGGTGCAGTCGGAGGCATACGACATTGTCAGTGCCATGATGGTGGTGAAAGAACCACAGACGCCATCGACGATGGCAGCCAGTAGAAGCACATGCACAGACACAAGATCTGGCTTGGCTGAGACAAAGACAAAGATAGCCTCCATCAAAATGGTCCCCAATGCGTTGAGGGCCAATATCTTTGTCCTACCGTAGCGATCTGATAGGTGACCGAGTCTGGGGCATGCTAGTGCAGATAGTATCCCGGCCAGGAGGTTGAAATACAACTGGAACTGAGCAAGCAATGACTGGACTTCGGGTGTCTGACACTGCGAATTCTTATTTCCAATGATGACAGGCAGATACGTGAAACCCGGGTCCTGGGTCGCCTTGTTCGCCATATAGTCCCTGCAAATGAGAGACATCATCAGGTTGATTTTGGGCACTGCAGTGCCGCCGATCCCTAGCATATAGAAGACAAGAAATGGAAGAATCCAAAGGATCTGTTACGTGTCAGAAGTCGCGGGCACGACCATTGTCCATTGTTGATGAAGACTCACGCTTGGCCGTCTCCATGTCTGCCAGAAACCTCCCTGGGCGACGGGATCATCATTTGGTGGGTTAGCCCGATGGTCATGCCCCGGTAGCGACTCTTCGTTGTCTTGTTCCAATAGAGGGGTTCGCTCGTGGGTGTGCATGGGGTCTTCCCAAGTCTCCAGTCCAGTATCAATTGGCGCAGAAGCGTCCAGTCCGGCTTGCAATCCCGGACCAACCTCGGTATGCGCAGTCGGCGATGCGCCGCGCCTGATCGTGGACATGGTGCGAGCGGTTTCGCACCTTAGAAGCAGAATAATGGGTAGAGCAACTAGGCTGGTGCCTACATTTGCTTGCTCTGGGGTTGAAACAGTACAACACCTGAGGTGGGCTCAAAACATTGGAGAAAACCGGGCGGGGGGAAAGCCGGCAAGGAGACCAGATAAATGGTAGTCCGTTTACTAAGTTAAACTCCGAGCCATTCGCTTATCAATCGGCATGAAACACACGACAGGTCAGCAAATGCTGGGATGGAACACATGCCAGCGCATGTTAGTATCTTATCGGTAGGTAGTGGTGACGTGATTCTAGAATTTCAGCCTAGAAATGGCCATGACTGGAGGTGGGTGGTGATTGTGGGAGATGTTTCACGGTTCAAGTCCATTTCTCGGGGATCAGCCCCGGGTATGCAAGTCTCAGAAATCTCAGAAGCAAGGCAAGTCAGCTCGGCGATAACGCTCTGGACTACCCGCCGCCTCGGGCCACTTACATCACTCCACGCTGTCGATTACAGTAGTAGTACTTAGGTTCGAAGTGTACCCCTTCCCAGTTCCAGAAACTCCCCATAGGAACTGCCAGGAGTCAAGACACTGGTACGACGGTGATCCTGCCACTGACTGGTTTAAATCACAGAAAAGCCAGCCTATTCGCCCACATGAGGAATTTGCCGAAATCGTAAACTAAATGGTTGTAGCTCGTTGCTTATTGCTTGTATAGACACACAGACTATCGTACAGAAAACGCCTTCACATACACACATCAAAGAACAGAACCCTTGTGAAAAGAAATGAAACTCTAGTGCCTGGTTATTATACTACCAAGGACGCTCCCTGTTCACCAGCGAAAAACTTCTTCTGCTCCAAGCACCTCTCACTCTTGCAGCCTTGACAACGCAGCGTCATTTGCAGCGAGCATTTCTCGCCCTTGTGCAAGTGCTCTTTAGCAAGATCTGCAAGGGCTTGGATGAATACAGGGCTGCCGTTCAGACTTTCGGCCCGCTTGACACCCGGGTGATTCGCCTCTTCCATGACTTCGAGATCCAGCTCATACAGAGTCTCGATGTGGTCGCTGGTGAAGGCGATTGGTACGAGGACAATGTCAGTCTGTCCACGCTTCACATACTCTTGAACGGTATCGCTAGTCTGCGCCCCCAGCCAAGCCTTTGGTCCAACCTGAGACTGCCAACAGAGGCGGTAAGGGTTGCTGAAATTGAGTCTTTGCATGACCGCATGCACAGTTGCAGCGACCTCGGCTGGGTAGGGATCACCTAAAAGAGTAAGTACTCGATTAGCCACGGGGACTTCGTGACAGGTTCCTCAAGGACTCACCTCTGTTCACAACACTCATGGGCAAACTGTGGGCCGAGAACAAGAGAACCACTCCATTCCTCTTATCTTCCGGATAGGTTTTGAGTTGGTCCTCAATGTTTCTCGCAAACGCCTCCACAAGGCCAGGGTGCGTAGGCCATCTGTCGATAACGCTCCACTGGATGGCTCCGGAAGTGTCCACGTTTCCGTTTGCTCGCTTACCCTCCAGCCGATTCCTCCATTTCCACAACTCATTCAGAGAGCTACCCGTAGTAGAGCAGGAATATTGGGGATATTGCGAAAATGCGACCGCCCGACCGCCCTTGCCATTGCCAAAACCATCTTCCAGCAATTGTGTGTACATTTGTTCCGTCAGCGGGTTGGCGTAACGGAAGGCGACATACGGCTTGTGAGGCGCAGTCTCCGGGTTGATCTTGTCCAGCAGCTTGCACATTTCTTCGCATTGGTATTCCGACCATTTCCTGATGGGTGAGCCTCCGCCGATGTCCGCGTACTGTTTTTGGATCTTGGGTGTGCGTCGCTTCGAAATGAGAGGCCCGAGGTAATTCTGGAACCTGCCTAGAGGAATCAAATCGCCGTCGGCCTTTATTAAAAGTAGACTGTTAGAATATTGCAGCCGAAATGATAGCTTGCCATGGTCGGAGACGTACAAAGAGCCGGCTGAGGAAATCCTCTACTTCGTCTGTCGTCGAGGGCCCTCCCATGTTGAGGAAGACCATGGCCGTAGGGCCCTTAGAGCCTGTTGCATCCTGGGTAACTGGAGGTACCGTTGTCGCCAGCCCACATCTTTGTTCCTGCCTGTATCCGAACAGGGTGCGAGATGCCGGTCGCAGCAATTGCCGGGGAAGAGTAAACGGGCGGCGGAGAGCCATGACAGGTAATTGTAGGATCGGGGAAGCTAGTCAAAGGAGGTACAAGGAAAGACCGTTCGTATCGCGCAAGTGGATGAACAATTCAGGCCTGCATTAAATAATCAATTGATAGACGAGTGGCAAGAAGAGGTAGTGGGTGTATACAACAGCGCAAGGCCTTCTGGAAGCTGAAAAGTCCAGAACGGCTTGATGACGGAGCATCGATACCACGACTAACTCCGACCCCCGACAGCCAATGACCGGTCACCTTAGCGTCATCAATTACCGGATGGACATCACATGATGTTCGTGTCTCCCCGCGTCTTTCTGCCCGCCAGTTTTATCGCGTCCCTCGCGACGGGATCCAGTGACGATATAGATACTACTGCTATTAGATCTCCCCTCGGCTGCAGGCAGCAGAGGCCAAACAGGCAGACACAATAGCCCCACTTGTTCCTTATATCGAATGCAACTTATCTAAAAGCTTTATACTTCCCTGTCTTCTTTTCGATACTACTTTGAATACTTCAACCCACTCTACCACAACCAGTATGGCGGACGGTAACCCACATCGCGAAGATGAAGCGGCTGAGGAAGAGGAGGAGATTGATGAGACTGTACGCACATCCTACCATAGCCTGGACTGAAAGTCTGGAACTGACGATAAGATCAGAGCTACAGATCAGTCAAAGATGCAGTCCTCTTCGCAATCGATGTCAGCGATTCCATGTTGACGCCTCGTCCCTCAGCAGACCCTAAGAAACACACCCAAGAGTCACCCACGACGGCAGCGCTCAAATGCGCTTACCACTTTATGCAACAACGAATCATATCCAATCCACAAGACATGATGGGGGTTCTGCTGTTTGGGACGCAGGCGTCCAAGTTCTTCGAAGAAGATGAAGACAGTCGCGGAGACCTCTCCTACCCCAACTGCTACCTCTTCACTGACCTGGATGTTCCTTCGGCCCAGGAGGTCAAAGAACTTCGAGCGCTGGTGGATGATGATGGAGACTCAAGGGATATTCTAGCTCCGGCGAAAGAGCAAGTCTCTATGGCAAACGTCCTATTCTGCGCCAATCAGATATTCACATCCAGAGCGCCAAATTTCCTCTCCCGGCGCTTGTTCATCATAACCGACAATGACAACCCCCATGGTGATGATAAGACCCTACGGTCGGCCGCGACTGTACGTGCTAAGGATCTTTATGATCTTGGTGTCACCATTGAGCTGTTTCCGATCTCACGTCCTGAGCATGAATTCATGAACAGCAAGTTCTATGACGTAAGCTATCATACTCTATGGCAAGGTGGTAGGGGTCAATACTCACTCCATATACAAAGGATATTATCTACAAGTCATCACCCAACGATCCAGAGGCGCCTACGTATCTACAAACATATTCAAAGGCGGCGACAGCGACCGGGGACGGGATTTCACTTCTCAACACGCTTCTATCCAGTATCAACTCAAGAACGGTCCCGCGTCGCACTCATTTCTCGAACATGCCTTTAGAACTCGGGCCAGACTTCAAGATCTCGGTATCGGGCTATATACTCTTACGAAGGCAAGCTCCCGCTAGAAACTCCTTCATCTGGCTGAACGGCGAGAAGCCTGTGGTCGCGAAAGGCGTGACTACCCATTCTGCAGATGATACTGGCCGTAATGTCGAGAAATGGGAGATCAGAAAGGCATATAAGTTCGGTGGAGACCAAGTAACCTTTTCGCCTGATGAACAGAAGGCGCTCAGGGACTTCGGTGAGCCAGTGATCAGGGTTATCGGGTTCAAGCCTATCACTGCGCTTCCATTTTGGGCGAACGTCAAACACCCATACTTTATCTATCCATCCGAGGAAGACTATGTAGGTTCCTCACGAGTGTTTTCTGCATTGCACCAGACGCTTTTGTGTAACAAGAAGATGGCACTCGTCTGGTTCATTGCGCGCAAGGGTGCTGGCCCCGTCCTCGCCGCTATGATTGCAGGCGAAGAAAAGCTTGATGAGAATGGCGTACAGAAATATCCTCCTGGCATGTGGATTCTTCCCCTGCCTTTCGCAGACGATATCCGGCAGAACCCCGAAACCACGTTGAATGTCGCCCCGGAGTCATTAATCGATCAGATGCGCGTGGTCGTTCAACAATTGCAGCTGCCGAAGGGGGTGTACGAGCCTCTCAGATACCCCAATCCATGTAAGTCAACTCTGCCATCCACTGATCTTATAGTATGAAAGAGAAGCTGACAGCCTGTGATCAGCCCTCCAATGGCACTACCGCATCCTACAAGCTCTCGCATTAGACGAAGATCTCCCTGAAAAGCCAGAAGACAAAACTATTCCCAAATACCGCCAAATCGACAAGGTACATCCACCATACCCAACAAGGAAATACTCTTCCAACGTTTACCTAACTAACAACTCAACTCCAGCGCGCCGGCGACTACGTATTATCCTGGGCCGAGGAACTCGAAAAACAACACGCCAAAACCTCAACAGCGGCCCCTCACCCCACAAGCACATTGGTGAAAAGAGGATCCAAAGACCGAGCAAGCGAAACCGAAGACTCCAAACCATCGAAAAAAGTCAAGGTCGAGGAGGGCTCCGGAAACCTAGAGGAAGAGGTCCGCAAGCATCACGAGAAGGGGACACTATCCAAGGTAAGCCAACACAAGCGTTCTACATGGCCTCTTGATGATATCTATGACATTATACTGACCAACGGTTTCTAGCTTACGGTCGCCATCCTGAAAGACTTCTTGACCTCCAATGGACGCTCAAATGCCGGTAAGAAAGCGGACCTTATCGAGCGGGTAGAGGAGTTCTTGGAGCAGTAGCATGGCATGCACTCGTTTGATCCGCTATTTAACACCCCTAATGGTGGCTATTCGTCATCTGATAGCATGAGCTTGTAATTAATGGTCGGTTGGATGGTCGAGATAGGAATCCTTCAACGAGAACATGAATGGAAACGCTTCTTAGGCGATGTAACTGTTTTGTCCCATTAAAAAAATATCGCATCCGCTGGACTAGCGGGATGCCATCAAATCGCAGAGTAAGAGTAGAGACATAATCATATGAACCATATCAGGTCCAAGTACTTTTCCAAGAACAAGCCGCTGAGAATTCGGTTACCGAGGTCTTTATCCCCAGAAAAAAAAAAAGATTCACTAGTGCAGCAGGTGCACGTATTTCCAAGTTCGGATTAATAGTATTGAAACGATCGTAGAATATCCAACCAGATTCGCCGTTAACGATAGGAGTCAGGCTTCTTCGCCGAAAAGAAATGGGAGGGGCGAGTGCGTTAACTTAGTCAACTTGAACCGAGCAGTCCCTGTAAACAACGCCACGCTGTTTGTAATATCCCTGTAGAAACGTATTGTCGCTGGTAATGATCCACAAGAACTGGTTTCGAAGAACAAGCGAAAAGAAATTCACCCAAATGGGAAGATTATGTCGAAAGATAGCAAGAGAACCAAGCAAAAGAGCGCCGAAAGAAAGAAGCTATCGTAATATATACAAGTAGAAGCCGTGGGTATTTTTGGTGAAAAGCAGAAACGTTAACGGTATGCGTACAATGATCAACATTGTCCATAAACTTGACAGTAGCAGACTTCTTCGTCGGGACAGCTGTGAGTAGCGGAATGTTAGTGGTCAAGATGCATTCAGGGGGTGAGCGATGCAAAGGGAACGTACTATATTGATTCTTTGCCGAATATGACGTGCCAGAGAAATTCCATGACACGACCGCTACTGGCATCATTCTTGTCCGTGTCGATAATCCACTGGCGTATCTTGATGTAGTCTTCTCGTGGTCGTTGGTGAACCTGCTCCCGTGACACGGCGAATTGCGCACAACACGCCGCGCCAATTTGTTTCGGCATTTGCAGGAACTTCTGGTATTTAGCCTCGTCGTATTCATCTTGCATCGTGAGGCCTCCGGTGGAGTTTAATGGCGGGGTGCTTGTGCCCTCGAAGATCTCTGCAAAGACTTCTTCTGTCACGTGCTGGTTGGTGCGATGGCCCTGCTTGCACCCTGGGTTCCAGTTGCAGCGGAGGTTGACGTAGCCATTATCTTGAACGAAATTGAGACGTAAGGATTTCATCGCAATGACATTATCGTGTAAGGGCGCATCTACATGCCAGGCCATCAGGAAACCCGATCGATGAGAATGAAGAAAAGCAATTGTAGACGGTAGGTTGTCGTAATGATCAATTAGGTAGGTGAGATAAGCCATGGACTCGTGACCCTTGTTCAGCGGGGTTGTGAGTGTCGTGTCGTCAGCTGCGACCTTTTTGGAGGGATTCACGATGTATATGGCCCGTTGCCAGCTTTGGAGGAGGGAAGCTTATCAGTGCGCTGAAACATATGGGGGGGGAATGGGATGCCGATAAACACTCACTCTGGTAGCTCCTCCTCGACCCATTCAGTGTGCTCTTCCTGTAGCTTGGCCATCACAATCACTTTATCCCCTGGTGTGACAGGACGGGAGCCATTTAGTCTGTTCATCGGCGGGCGCAAATCCAGCCAATTGATCAGGTATGCGCCCGCGCGATACTGATCGCAGAGGTCCTCGAGGTGGATCTTCAAGAGATATAAGGGCAAGATGAGTGCTAAACTAGCACATAGTGCTATGCGAGCGCCCCATCTCATGGTGGATAGCTGGAAGTCGGTAGCTTCTGTGCACGACTCAGGACTTTATCCAAAGAAATTGGTTGAAAAGCCAACGAGGACTATTGTCGTAAGGCCGTAATCAATGTAATACAGCTTGGACGCCGTTCTTCTCTTATGAGGGTGACAAGATTGGAGGTTGATGAAGATTGATGTTGTCACAATACAGCTTGGTGTAAGGAATGACTTGAGTCGGGAAAGACCGATAAAGATGCAAGATGGAGAGGATAATTTCAAGCATTAAAAGGAGGGTCAATCCGATGAGGAAGAATCCAAAGGAAGGTAAAGAGGGGGTAAGAATAAATAGAAAAAAAAGGAGGGTATTGGAGGGGCTATATGTGAAGCATATTGCGAAAGATAGAGGACAGAGAGAAGGGGAGAGAGAGAAGACGGACGAGAGGGGTCAAGGCGAGGTAATCAGGAAAGGAGACTGGAGGAGCATTGATTAACCTATTCGTCTGCCTACCAAGGCGGTAGGTGCAGTGGTAGTAGAATTAAGTAGGTACTTTTTAGTGACTTTGGAACTAAAATAGTCACTAAGACGAGTAGTAGTAGACTTAGACTTAGACTTAGTAGGCGTGGGAGGAAGGTCCATCGAATGCTTCCAATTCCAGCCCCCATCTGCCAGCTTCTGTTTCGCCCGCTCAGGCACAGCGAATCTTTCAGTCAGTTAGTCTTTTGTTGTGGCGCGGCAATGGAGGGAGTGGGGCGTAACCGTAACCCCCCACTGAGCGGCCACGCGTTAAAATTGTTGCTATCGTTTGGCTCCCCAAAGATGAAGACTAAGGGGGGGGGAATGGAAGAGACTGTCATAGGCTGTTGGGGAATGGAGAGTTCCCCTCAGACAATCGCAAACCTTAAGGGAACCACTTTCTTCCTTAGCGGGCTCTTAGCGGGGAAGCTTGGCAGCCGCCAAGTTTAGACTGGGAGCACGACATCTTGTCTTTAGGTTACTCTGAGACATACCATAATTTATTACGGCTGACTGACTGATTATACTACTCTCGGTATCTCTCCCAATCCCTTGTCCCCATTTCGGAGTCTCGTCTCCATGAAAATCTTCCCCCCCTCGTATAAAGAAGTTGAGATCGCCCGCCCTTCCATGCCTCAACTTGGCTGTGCAAAAACCATGGACCACTGGTGGCGGTCAACCTTTGCCCCTTGACGGGATGACGTCGCGGGGACCATTGCGCGTACGTGGGCACCACTAATATCTCTGGCCAAATATGCCACGCAGCTGCGACGCTAATCCGCCATGGTTCGCATGTCACAGCCTTCTTTCGAAACCCAACGTTCGGCGGTTTCCAAGTTTATTCGGTTGGATTGCCAAAAACTGTCACCCCGGATCGGCAACATTGTCTCGCACGTCCCGAACACGGTGGATAAGAGAATGGCCATGAGACACTTGAAACAAACATGTACCGGTGGGCAGGCAAACGAACACGAAGAACCATGGCCCACTGCGTACCAATCTAGATACGTACGTGGACAGCTGGGGAATGGATATATGATTTGCCCGCGAGATGACAAGTGCCTCGGGGATTTATCCACTGATAAGGACTCAAAGTCAGACTTCAACCCACATTCGGATCTAATTTCTTTTTTTTTTATCCATTCGGCTTCATCTCGCCGCCCCGCCCATTCTGTGTCTTGACTCTTTTCGGCTTTCCTGCCTCTTCGAATTCGTGGTTCTTGTGTCGCTTAATCTTTATCAGGTTATCTTTGGGATACACTAAGCTTACTCAGTACATTTCCGGTTGCGGAAACCCCCAAAATAGCCTTAACAGTCAATGTGGCGCCCAGCAAGGCTTAGCCAGGCTGACCTTATAAGGAAAGATAATGGCCCCCAGGATTAATAGTGGATATTATCAGTAGCTAAATCAGTAACTTAGGACAGCGAATAGTAGAGCGGGGGAGGGGGGCAGGATGAAGGATTCATATGACTACATTAGAAAGTTATATCAGGCAATACACAGTTCTACTTTAGTTGGCGCCATACCCAGGCGCAGCCGTCAATATCGGCCAATGGGGGTACTACTACGTATCAAACCTAGAGAGAATAAATCAACACTTCTCTAACCTAGACTACCCCTTTGGAAACGGCCTTGGAGCCTTCTAAAAGATCATTAATGCCGTGTTAAATAAAGCTATCAAGGCGCATCTAGCCTTCCAGCCAGACCACAGCTGGTTTACGAGAGACCCATGCTCATCAATGTGGATAATGGAAGCAAGAATAACAAGACCGATATGAACTTCATCTCTTGGAATATTAAGCTTGAGCTCCTCCATGAACCATGCCATTTCATTTATAAGAAACGCCTGGACTTACTCCACGGTCAGCGCACACAGCTCCAACCAAATATTAAGCGGCCGATAATTTCTCCTCTATCCATACTTTAGCCTAGAGAACTACTCAAGACTGCTATATCATGCTTGGCATCAACTCTACCAGCACCCTTGAACTCATTCTAACCGAAGTTCTACACATATCATCACCCACGCGCACAGGCATAGACTGTGGTCTGGGGAAGAGAATATAGTGATATTAGATCAGCTCCACTCTCGAGAGAGAGGTGTGTGGATCCAGATACCAGAGGTCTCACAAGCTATGATAGCGGAGAAAATAAACCGTCGGACTCCTTCGGCTTCGCTGTGGACAAAGATAAGTATTACCATGGCTCATTACGTTGTTGCCTGGCTTGCTTTCCCAGAGAAATCATCTTTCGTGATTCCCTAAATCACCATTTGCTGGTTATTCTTTCCATTGGAATTGATCATGATGATTTTACTACTTATGACCAGCCATTGCTCATCGCTTGAGATTTTTAATCTGTTTTTGATACTAAGTGAGGAATAACATGAACAACGTATTTTATATTGTGCGCGGCAGCGGAACAGTAACCCCGGAATTTTGAGAGGTCGATGTTGAATTTGCTAACAATGATATAATATCAGAGGCAAGTACACTTTGGTACAAGACATGATACATAGCAACATCATTGCACTTTCAAACTCTGTTATCTTCTCTCGGATTGTCTTCCTTTAGCTCCCTACGCAGAATCCATGGATTTGCATACCACTTAACGAACTGGATAATGCAACTACTGCATAGTACCGTGACACATAGCAGAACTACATGGGCACCGCTGCATGGACTTATGCCCAAGTAGCGTTACATCCATGAAGTTAAGTACTCGAGTGTAAGATCAGTAAATAGTACTCAAATTTAAATCTTAAGGATGGATTCTCCAACAGTCTTGGCAACCGAGTACAAAGGGAGCAAGGGGCGCATAATAAGATTCAATGCTATCGAAGTTGCACAACTCAGCTGAGTCAAAGTTTCTTTTTATTAGTTAGTTATTCTTTCTCGTCCTTTCGCCCATCTGACATCTTAAGTAGAGCCTCACAGCCGGTACCTAATGAACAGCTCACCCTTTCTCGGTGAGAGAGAGAGTTTCTGGAATGATGCGTCATCCAATGTGATTGACACGTGGTTCATCCCCTACGTGCGACATTTGCAGGACCTGCAGATTGACAGATCGAGGTGACAATGGACATAGCATTTGAGCATTGAGGCTGTGCATTCGGCTGAAACTAAGTCTGTCTTTTTGCTTTTCTTCTCTTCCAATAGTACTTTGTAAAGACGCGCGAGCAACTACAGCTGAGCTGAGTGCAGAGTAGTGTTCTGCTCGGCTTACAGATCACATGACCTTGAATAAGTCCCGATCGGCGTCAGGTGACTGGGAAGGGGAGAAAAAAAGGCATCCATGCAAACCTAGCAAACAGGCCAGCCTCACCCAGTTGAAAGGCTATCTCGAGGTAGTATTACCGAATCTGCAAGAATTGTGGTACGGGTACCTCTTCTTGTTGAATGCCGGGTACCGTGGATGGGATGGTTTTTCGGGGAGGGGGAACCCGCCCGACTGGTTTAGCAGTGAGCGGGATTGTGATGGTGGTGGTGATCATCGGGCAGGTCACACCCTTGCAACTTAAAATGGGTTGTTTGTTCGCTACGCGTGTGCGGGAGGGCTTACTTAGTTCCCTCTCCAGGAGTTGGTTTACTTTGTACTTTGTGGACATCTGAATAACCTTCAATGTTGCTTGTCTGGTTCCAAGGGAAGCTAGCTGATGACAGACCCCTAGTCCGGTAGATCATGACTTGTCCCATGTCCCTATTCCGATATGGGCTTCTCTCTGTATGTGTGTATATGTATGTATGGATGGATGGAGAATGTAGTGTCAAGTCAAACAATCAATAAATGCCAGATCCCAAGATCGGCTCCCCCTCTCCCAATCGGCCAACATTGCCATTACGTATCCGATCAATTAATGCTTCAGGCACCATTTGTTTTGGCTCTGCTGCCCACAATAATTCTTGGAATTATTTGCCGTTAGCCTTTGGGGGACTTTACCATCCTGGTACAAGCACCGGTGCGACTTTCTAGTAATTAAAGCAGAGATGAGAGAAGAGAAGAAAGAGACAGAGGACAGAGAGAGGTACTGTTGTTGACGGTCGGTGCTGACCGGAGGGGAACCTGAGGCAAACGGTGCCCCGAAGAATAATTAATTCCCCTGCCGAGGTGGGCTCCCTTTTCTTTCTTTAGTTAGTTCCTTTTCTGGTGTCTCCCTCGTTCCTCACGACTCTTAGTACTTACTAACTACCACTAACTCAGGGTACCCCAAGATTAGTAGTGAGGTCTTAAGAGTAAGTAGTGAGTGAGTTAAGTGAGGTAGTTAGGTTACTACTGGTTAGGGTGAACTGACTCTCGTCCATCCGTCCCTCTCTCCCTCCTCCTCCCTCCCTCCCTCCTCTCCTTCCCCCGCCCAACGAACGAGTCGCTCTCGTCTCGTTGACCAACAACAACAACATCAACAACTGGCACTCTCTGCCTTGAATCACTCCCTCATTTCCCCCCTTCCCTTCTCTTCCTTTCCCCCCCATCTCCCCTTCCACCATTTTCAACTTCCCCCCTTCATCCAATTGCCCTTTTTCATTTTCCTTGTGTCTACTTCCCCTTCGGACTTAAACCAACTTCTTTCTTTGCCTCACTTTCCTTTCCCTACGTACCCTTCCTTTCGCATTGACCCTTGGTCCTTCCTTTTCTTCTACCACCTCATTTTCACTCTTAATAATCCCTACTTATATCTTTTTTGATCTTATCTATTGTATAGTGTGGACGCTTCATTGCATCCGCCTGTACCCGTAATTTCCTGGATCCTCCTTCCCTCCGTCCTTGGTTCTCATTCTGCGCCCGCTTCTCGGCGACTCCCTTGTTTCGCCCGCACGCCGCTGCCTCGTCCCGAAGGCGCACATCTGGTCGCACACGCACAAGGTTACTCTGCGTTTACTGGACAGGCACGCGTTTGTTGTCCGAAGCTTCTCTTGGAGCAGGTTTTCACTTCCTTGCCCCAAGTCTCTTCGTCACAGACGAGGCCTAACCGCCCACCTTCGGCTCCCGGTATCGTAAGCCGCCGATACCAAAGTGTTTTTGTTGTCTT